AATAGCACAGCTGCTATCAATTTATTGTAACAACCTCTCACGTGATCTTGTAGAATCCATTCATCATTAATGCTATAATATTCAATCAGTTTAGACTGTTTTCATAAGCAAAAGAGGACTCTTAATTAACTGGGCAGATTTTTAGAAAATGGTTAATCTTCTTATACAAACACTCAGGTAATATTTGTTTTAAGATTATGCCTACTATGAAATGTCTGCATATAATTAAATTTCCAAGTAGGGAACTTTAGGCTTTCCAAGATAACGTTTCTATCATTCATAATCTGGCATGGCCAATGGGGCTATGAAGTCCTACAAATCTGAAAGGCCCAGGATCACCATTATCAATCTAAATATGAGGAAAATATATTTTCCTTTAAATAGCACAAGGAAAATGCATCTTTACTTCTTCTGGAAGTGTAATAAAACTTTGTCATTCCATCTATCCCTTAAATTTATGGATTAATCCAAGGGCAGTAAAGCCACCAGATTGGAGATACTTGCTGAGGAAATTGATAAGATGTTTATTGACAACTCAAAGGAGAAGAATAGATTCACATGATAAGGAAGCAAGCAGGGAATCCCTAATGGCTACAGAACACAATGAGCTCCTGAGGGTTATGGCATCTGTAGAATTTGGAATTGGAGTTGGAACACTAGGGGGGCTGGCCTCTAGAGAATTCAATTTACTGTCTAACGCTTGGTCAATTTGCTTAATCACTTTTTAAAATGTCTGTGGGGACACACAATGTCAGCCCATTAACAGCTTTTAAATGGCTTAAGTCTCCTCTTAAATGAGAAAAGCAGAGCAAACAAGAGATGGTGGTAAGATCTGTCTATGTCATAATTCTTTTATGTGTTTATTTTGCCAGTCAAAATTTAGAGTGATATATTAAGTCACTGCTAAACTCTGCTCTCAATTATTCTTTCTCAAAGAAAAAGGGAAAACAAAAATAATACAATGATTAATTTCCCTTTGAACTATTATTATGACATTTTCTAGATGTTTACCGAGGATGTTTTTGGGTTTACTCATTTTTATTAACAAAAATTACTATAACCTGTAACTACTAGTTCTCTATATTTAACATTTCCTTACGTAAATCAAAACAAATCAACCAAATGGTATCCACAAATCTTATATAACCAAATGTATGTAAATATAAAGAAAAAAATTTGAAATCTTACATGCACTTAAGAGGGGAAAAAACCTGAGCAACCTTTTACTTTTATCTAAATGATTTTTTTTAAAATTGTTAATCAATTCAGTTACCAGTTAAAAGCATCTAAGTCTGATATTCTACATAACAAACCTATGCTTCAGGCAGCAATTTAGACATCTGGATATTATGCTCATTTTTAAATTAAAAATATGTTTCTTAATTTATCAGTTGTTCAGTTTAACCCATATGTAAAGTCTTTAACCAGAGTTCAAATGAGCTAAAGCTCATATAATTTATTTTCCCTTTCCACTATGAATTTTACCTTCTTTTCTGAAAGAAATTAGTGGCATAAGATTAACTCTGTGCTACTATATCTTTCTAAAAAGCTAGTTTTAATCAGACATTACAAATCTGTTTAAAGAGTGTTCATATTTTAATTAAAAATCAGCATTATTAATTCCAATAAAACAATGCAGGGTTTCTCAATCTCAACATTAACATGTGACCTTGAGAAGCCCCAGAATAATACCCTATGGCTTCTGCTATTAAAGAAAGAGGAAAGCCCATGCTGCACAGCTTCATACAATCCTAGACTGGAAGGTAAGTAAAAGTCAACAAGTTTAATCCTCTGAACACGTCAGGATTCACTGTACCTTCTTCTTTACTTCTTCTTTTACCATTTTGGGTGTCAAGGGATTCAACTGTACCATCGCTGATCAATGACTGCCCTTTTTAAAAAAAAATTTCCAGGGAAGAAGAAACCACCCCTCCATTTGGTAGCTCACTCCGTGATTAGCAGCTATTGCTATCAAAAATCTTCCCAATTTATAATCCATATCCTTGAAATTCCATCCCATTACTTCTAGTCTCATCCACTGGATCAAGTGAAAAGGATAGCCCTTTAGTATTTGAAGACAGCGTTCATGTCCCTACTCAACTCTATTTTTGCTATTTAAACATACTTAGTTCTTTTAACCATTCCTCATAGGACTTATTGTGCTTAAAGGAGCATATTTTATGCTAGAAGTGTAGTATAATACCCCTTTACAGTCAACATATCTAAATATTTATTAATAGCAACTTTATGATAATACAGTCATTAGCTGTGGAGAAAATTAGGATGGTGTAGGAATGCCTGCAAAGTCCGGCATGGTCATATTCTTTATTAATCCCCAAGGACACATGGAAGCTCTCTTTTGAAAGAGCCTGGCAGAAAGTTTGAGATCACTATCTTGCCTAGAGTGTCTCCAATCTGGATAAACTTTGGTTTCAAGTACTATTTTATGCCAAACAGAAATCAAGGTTTTGGATGATATACTTGACCTTAGGAAAACTCCCAGACCACAATAAGTCAAACTATGATTAAAAGAGTAAGACAGAAGACAATGTATATAACTACTCCAAGTTCTTTGAATGTTTTGTAAACATACTGTGTCCATATGTAGCAGAAACCATCATGGGATTTGTTTGTTTTGGCTTTAGCACAGGGTTGTAAAACTCTGAACCAATACAGTAAATGGCAACAAAAAAATGTTTCACTGCCATCTTGTAATGGCCTGGATTTTTGCAGTCCAGATCTAGTAGCTTACTTTAAACCCAGCACAGTTGGCCACGTGTTATAGTTTTCCCACAATGAGGGATTCCAGCTGCCATGGCTTAGTAAATGATTAGCAAATCATAGTGGTAATATCTTAGAATGACATGGGAATGCTCCAAAATTTGTAACAATGGTAAGGATCATTAACAACAGTGCTCTAAATTTAGTGCACACTAATGTCACTATTGATCTTATTGCCATCAAAGTACAACGATAATACAGCGTTTCCCATCTTAAATTAATTGCTAGGTAATAAAAATGTCAGCTACTACTACTACTCTATCGATACTTTATTATAATTATATCGATTACCCAGATAGATACTCCCAGATTCTTATGACTGTTAATATTCATTACGCATTAAAGCCTTATGTAAGTTCTGCTTGGTAACTCTCACAGTATACCAAATACATACAAGTAACTAGTATACCCAGCAGCTAGTAGTCAAGGATATGCTGGCTCAGATACTAGAAATAAAACAGAACTACAATGAACGGTAACTGCTGATGCAGTTTATTCTCTGTAACTGCTAATTTCATCAAGCTATGTATAACCTAGGACAGTGGTGGCGAACCTATGGCACGTGTGCCAGAGGCGGGACTCAGAGCCCTCTCTGTGGGCATGCGTACCATGTCCCAGAGATGGCGACAGACTGGCCCCTGCCGCCCTGGCCCCACCCACCCAATCTGCCATGACCACCACGGCCATGCCCACCCGGCACTCGGTGATAAATAAGTGGGTTTTGGGTTGCGGTTTGGGCACTGGGTGTCCAAAAGGTTCACCATCACTGACCTAGGATCAATTTCCTAACCAATCACTTGCAATAAGCCACTCTTAAACAGACTTTTGCAATTCTGGCCTCCAAGTATTATTACATTATACTACAGTTCCATCAACTACAGCCAGCAGAGTCAATAGTCTGGAATTCATATATTGCAGAAAATTCAGAGGTTTGTTGTAAGTAGTATACAAATTTTATAAGGCTTGTGAACATTTAGGAAGTGAAACTAACTCTCCAAGTATACTCAACCAAAGGCTTACGTTAAAGGACAGTGTGAATAAGCAATATATTAAGCAGGCTGTCGTTGAAGGCAAATTGAGCAGGCTGAACTTGAGAGCTAGGCTACCAAAACCTGTTTAAAGAATTCTCTGTGCCACTATCTAATGTTATCTAGATTTTTGCAATCCTCATAGTCCCATAGGTTTCAAGGAAAATAAGAATTATTTGGTGGAATTTACATGAGAGCCTATCTCACAATACTAAAAATAACTACAAAAAATAGAAAGCCCAGAGCAATCAGAAAAAAAAATTATAAAGCCACAAGCCAACATTCAACACAACCAAGAAACAGGCTCCTCCCCACACGTGGGAATCCCAGGCTCAAGCACAGAGCACTCTCCACAGAGCCTTATGGGAGGTCAACAGGGACAGGAACAATCTGATTTTTAGAGGGATAATATTCCAGAGGGCAGATGCCAGGACATAACAGACTTTTCTCTAAGTTTCTATGAAAAGCACTGGAAAATATAGAGTAACATACATTTGATAGCTGATAAAGTTAATTCCCTTTTGTTTTATCTACACTGTATTAATGCAGATCTAATCTATCTCTCTACCTCTCCCTGCATACATGTTCCTAAGTGGCAATTAAAAATATTATGCTGTAGTTCTTTTTTCCCCATCAATAGCATGGGTAGCCTTCTCTTAAACCCAACACTGTCATTTAGAGACACTCTTTTTTTCTAGCTAGAATTCTATTCGGAATGTATTCATTAAATATATTTTATTCTACTTTGAATTATAGAAAAAACCTGCAGCATCTTTTCCAAAATAAACAGTTCACCAAAAATGTGAATAAACATGATATAAACCTTAAATTTACTGAACAATTTTCAGTAGATGTGGACACTTTTTGTTCTGGACTGTGGAATAGGTGGGCCAAAATGAGACAAAATCCTATGAAAATATATCCAATGTGGTGAAATATTTTCAATGCTATAAATCATTAAGCTGAAATTCTGGCAGAGTAGAAGAGATTGCCTATCTTCAGTCTCCTTATCTGTAAGGGTTCTATTTCTAACACTTCCAGGTTTTAAAAGATTGACTGCTTATTATACTGAGATATCAAATGTAAAACAACACCCTTCAGTGCAGCTATATAAAACCACTCCATCTAACCTGAATTCCCCTTTGTATAAGAAAAAAATTAATCACACATATGGCAAAACAAAGTACTTACTGTTCGAGCACCACTTGGAGACAAGGCTCCACTAGGAAGGTAAGGGCTTCCCAGCTCTGGGATCATCAAGAAAGGATAACTTGGATAAGGGGTCCCTTTAAAAAAGCCTCCATCTTGCTGTCTTCTAATTACTATGGAAGAAGGAAGATATTAGCTATAAACATTCAGAGAGTAAAAACTCTCAGACAAATGGCAAAACAACTGACTTAAGTTTAAAATGTATGAATTACAAAAGTTAGAATTCTACCTCCAAGAATTATGAAAGATCAGAACTCAAGAAAAACCAGCTAGGATCGCAAAGCAGAGAAAAATTAACATTGAAGCAAAAAGTAGTAAACAAGATGAAATTGTATTTATTCCATTTTGTTATCTAGTATTCTTGAAACAAATTTGAAACAGAATTTACTTCTAATTTAAACATTCAACTAATCAAAATCCAATCTTTATCTCATAGTTCAGTGATATTTATCCACAAGAAAATATCTATAACATCACAAGTTTCATTCAGATGCTTTAAGTCAAACTATAGTCCTCCAGTTTTTTTCCCCCATACAAAATCTCAAACTATAATTTGCTTAACTATAATTTATTCAATAAATCACGTGACAAGATTCACAGTTAAATCAAAAATTTAAAAAATGGGTCAGCATATGGACCCTCCAGAAACTTAGCGCTTAATGTCCAGGGCAGTTTGGTAGATCTTCAGAGTTGTGCAAATAACATTTAGAAAACCACAGATCCTCATTCTTTTAGGTCATAATATTAAACACCTATGATAAATGCAGGCTTGCTAAGATCAATATATATTGTCAAGAAATGAGCTTTTATAAAAAGCTATTTTTTCTTCCCTATGGGCCATCCATTAATCTAAACTGCAGAGTTACAAACTTCCCAAAGTTTTTTGTCTTTGGGACAAAAGTTGAGGAAACATGTGTCTGTCACCTTTCATTCAGTGAGTTAGAGATTTACACAATCATGTCTTAATATCTGCACTCATACCAAAGTACCACTGGATCATTTATCCAGAATAATTGCAGTCCAAAACTCTACTCAAATACACAAATAATAATATATAATGTTTACTTCACCTACTGTATGCTGTTAAGATGAGGAAGGATAAGAGTTGTTACACCCCCCCCCATGTGCAAAAACATGGGAGGATTCCACCTAATATTAGGTTAATTTTAAACTTAGTGCCAGAAAACAATTTTCCCTGAACCAAGCAACACTTATTTCTGAGTAAACACTTTAAAACTTTACACAGCAATTTCTATATTTAGAAACAAACTGTACTCATTTCAATGTTTTGAATAAATGTATTCATAACATGGATGCTTTGGAATGGATCATTAAGGAATTTGTACTTTTCAAGTTATGTGAACAATTAGAAACTCTTATATTAGTGGGTGAATTCTGACATCTCCATTCAAAAGTTCTGTGCTGCATTTTTTTTTTTTAAAAATTTGGGCTAAAGCCTACTTACTGACTTTGAAATAATTCCAATCCAGGCCAAGGGGACTTATTCCCTTGTCAATCAGCAATTGTATACATTCATATGAACTTAATAGAACATTTCTGCATAAAGATGCACAACATTAAACTATTCCTCTCACTGATCTTAGACTTCTTCATTCAGAAGTAAAATGGTGCCTCTTGTTTGAGAACGCTGATAAATTTACCATGGAACATTCGAAAAGCATTACTTTTCTAAAGAGCCATATGTCACCAGATGCTTTGTTTACTCCAAGTAAATCTTGTAAACTTCAAGGAGTCAATCCCCAGCCCTGCAAATTTAACGCTGAAGTCTAGACACAAATAAAGGAGAATATATTTGTAGCTCAGGGTTGAAATGGTGGTCTCGGAGCTTGGCTGTTTTCTTGCAGACCTTTCATTAATTACCCAAGGTAACATTGTCAGTGCCTGGACGGTACCTCGTTTGGGTTACTAGGACTGAAGAGGGTCACTAGCACTGATGATGTTACCTAGTTTGGCTAATGAAAGGTCTGCCAGAAAACACGCAAGCTTGGAGAGCAGCAGGGACCCCTCAGGATAGTTGCACCTTGATCTTCAAAAGTAGCTAAAGAGCAGAATCGCGTGCAAGTCCAGAGCCCATCAATCTGCGCGTTTCGCTGCCACTCGTGGCCGCCACTTTTTAAACCCGCTCACCCAGGGGTCATTTCCATGCCAAAAAGAGTCTGTTGCAGAGCAAACAAACCAGAGTCAGCCACCTTTTTTTAGCCGGGCTGGGATTATTATTTATTATTTAGCCGGCTCAAGGTTGACTCAGCCTTCCATCCTTCCGGGGTGGGTAAAATGAGGACCCAGATTGTTGGGGGCAATGTAAATATAAATATATATATATATATATATATATATATTTATTTATGAGACTTATATACCGCTTTAAGTGCAAGCACTCTCTAAGCGGTGTACACCAGTAAGCAATGTGTGTGTGTGTGTGTATATATATATATATATACACACACACACACACACACACATTGCTTACTGGTGTACACCGCTTAGAGAGTGCTTGCACTTAAAGCGGTATATAAGTCTCATAAATAAATACATAAATACCGGGGGGTGGGGGGGGTTTGGGATTCCGTCTTTTGCGCGGAATCCAGCAAGCAAAAGGGCATGCAGAACCCCCCCCCCAAATTGCCTTTGGCAAAGAGGGCAAACTTCACTTGGGAACCAGCTGCCCGCCCTCCCCCACTGCGCGGGGATTCCAAATCCGGATTAGGATTCGGCGCCGGGACTGGCGGCCGAGGGGAAAAACCCACGCAGGGAGGGCCGAGGAAACGTTCAGCCCGGGGCCCCTTTTCCCCAGCAAGGAAGGGCCGCGGACGAACCGGCTTGGGGAGGGAGGCGCGGGGGGGGGCAAATCGGGGCCCAAGTCGGGTCAGGCAAATCCGGAGGAGTCCGCCGGGGAAGCTCCTCTCCGTCCCAGAAAGCGACGGCGGGGAGGAGCACCCGGAGGAGAGAAGCAGCAGGTCGCCGCCGCCACAACGCCCCACCTCCCCGCCCCGTCCCCGCACTTCTTGGCTCGCTACCTTCGGCTGCAGAGTCCCGCGGCTTCTGGAAACTTTCCCGCGGCGGCTGAGGCGGCCTCTCCGACTGGGGAAGGGGGGGGAGGAGAAAGAGGAGGGGGAGGGGGGAAACACAAAGAAAGGGGGTTGAGACGACGCGGCCCAAAGCGCCCCCGGCCGATCTCCCCCCCCTCCCCACAGCCCCCCACCCCCATTTCCGCCCCCGCCCCGGCCGCCCCGCGCGCGCCTCTCCCCCCCGCCGCCGCCGCCGCCGCCCTCCCGCTTTTACCTCAGAGTCGGACCCGGAGGCGCTGCCGCCGCCGCCGCCGCGGTTCTCGGACTCGTGGACGAGCGAGGACTTGAGCTCGTCCAGGTCGCCATGAGCCGAGCCGCGCCCCCCGGCGCCCTTGTCCTGCTCGTCGCCCTCGTCCTGGAAGGGGATGAGCTCGTCCGGGGCGCCCAGGTCGTCGCTGCTGCCGCTGCCGCCGCTACCGCCGCCCCCTGCTCCTCCGGCGGCGGCGGCGGCGGGCTGCAGCTGAGGCATGGTGCGGCGGGGTCCCGGTGCGGCGGGCGGCCGCTCCGCGCACCCCGCCTGCCTCAGCCCGGCCTCCCGCCTCAGCCCCGTCCCGCCGCCGCCGCCGCCGCCCCGACAAAGTTTTGACACTCGCAGGAAGGGAGGCGGAGGCGCCACGGAGCTTCCCCTCCTGCGGCGTCGAGGCAGCGCGGAGAGGCGGGAAAAGGCCAGGCGGCGCCGGACCGGGAAGGCAGGGCGGCGGCGGCGGGAGCCCGGGTGGAAGTCGCTGGCTCCGGCGTCCGGAGGGGTCCCCTGCTCAGCCCACCCGGGGAGGGTCGAGAATGCGAGCGAGGGGCCGGGAAGGAGGAGGAGGCGGAGGAGGAGCTCCCGCTGCAAATTGACACCCCGGGCGAGCAGGAGGAGGGGAGGGGAGGAGGAACGGCCCCCCCGCCAGACACCCCCTTCCGCTCCCCATCCCCCGCCGCCCCCTCCCCTTTCTCCCGGGACCCCCCCCAGCGCCGCGCCCCCTCCCCGCGCAGGGCATCCCCCCCCCCGCTTTTCCCAGATGCGCGCACTTTCCCTTCCCGCTTGGATTGTGCTTTCCAAGCGGGGAGGGGAGGGGAGGGGGAGGCCCTTTTGGAGCGGGTCTTCCCTCCCGGGCTCTGCCTTCTTTTTCTTTTCTTTTCCTCCTCGAAAGGAGGGGTGCAAAAACAAGGGATCGCTGGAAGCAAACAAGGGTGGAGGGGGGGGAGAGAGAAGAGAAAGAGAGGCGGACCTCGTTGCAAAGCCTTGCCTGGCCAAATTTAAAAAAAAAAAAAAAGCAAGGAATCCCCGAGGGAGCCGCCTCTCGCTCCCCACCCCCCCCCCCAAGCCAATCCCGGATTGCTAAATCTTTGCGGGCGGGTTTGCATTTCAATGGATGGGGATTAAAGAGGGAGCTTTGCAGCCCGATCCTGTGCAAGGTAACTTTGAGAGAAGAAGCGGGGCGGGGCGGGAGGGGAGGGGAGGAGGGGGTGGAGGTTGCAATCTAAGCGTGTTTCCTTTCCGATCTGGAGAGTTTCAAGTCCCGTGGAATTGGGAAGGGTTTGCTTCGGGAGTGAGCTCGCTGAAGTTTGCATGGCGTGCCTTATCTTGAGAGTTACTTCTCCAGATACTCAGCGCCGCGTACGGAATAGCCGCTTGACAGCCATGATGAGAGAGAGAGAGAGAGGAGCGTTTAAAGCAAAATCCGGTTGAATTCAGCGGGAGCTTAAAGTGCCGAGCGTCCAGCGCGTTCGGGCATTGCAGCCATTATTCCCCCCCCTCTTTTTATTTTTATTTTTGCAAAGCAGCCAAACATGTTGTCCAACAAGTTGCTAATTAGTAGATAACGCCAACAAGAGCAATGGGTGAAACGCACACACTCACACGCACTTATGCTCTCACTGTGCGTGGCATTTACATGCATTTTTCTCTTAGAAATGTAATTTCCACAGGAATTTTAATGCCTTCAACGGATTTTTAAACCATGCTGCAAACAATGTCTTGAAAGGCAAAGTAGAGCAGAGTTTTGCCAAGTGACATTGGTGTGAGAACGGAAGGAGGGATGCTAATAAAGAATTGCATTTGAGGCTTGTTATTCATTGTCCTGCTTTCCAGCTCAGACACTTTGGTGCTAGCTATTTTTAATGTTTTATGGCATTTATTATCCAAATCTGACTTACATCCCATGTTTTGTGGATTACAAGAGCTGAAGGCCAATGTATTTTGGATGGCACCAAATTGGATGTAGCTTTCGTAATATGATGGAATGGAGCCATTTGGGGGGGGGATAAATTTGGTATTAGAGAGCTATGGTGCAGTGGTTAGAGTGCAGTATTGCAGGCTAAATCTGCTGACTGCCTGAAGTTCGATTTTTATCCATTTAAGGTTGACTCAGCCTTCCATCCTTCCATGGTCTGTAAAATGAGGACCCAGAACAATTAACCAGTGGAACAACCTGCCTCGGGAAGCGGTGAATGTTCCAACACTGGAAGTTTTTAAGAAGAGACTGGAAAGCCATTTGTCCGAAATGGTATAGGGTTTCCTGCCTGAGCAGGGGGTTGGACTAGATGACCTCCAAGGTCCCTTCCAACTTTATTAGTATTAGTATTATTTGGGGGGGGCAATATGCTGACTCTGAAACAGTATAAAAGTGCTGTTGTTATTGCTATCTTTCAAGGCCTGGCTATTACTACATTAGGTTCTGGTTCCAGTTATTTCAGCCTGACATTTCCTGCCTCTGGCTATATTAGCACAAAGAGTTGAGGGGAAAACACTTAAAGGAGAACACATGCAGCAAAATTACCTACCTACCCACCTCTTTAACCCAGCAACTCTTCTTTAGGTTTTTTTTGATAAGGTGATAAGATAAAGATGGTTAGTGTATTTGAGAAATGAAAAGATTAATTCTAAAGCAGAACAGCTATAACAAATGTAGACAAGATCATGAAAGATAAGGGCATTATAATGATAAGGGAGAAGTACCATATCTTAAAGCAAAGATCTTTGTAATGATGTGCTCTGTAAAACCTGGACCTTTGGAAAAAAAAAAAAGTAAAAAAAAAGGGTAAGATTCTTTTAGGATATAGATTTGGATGTAATTAGTTCTGAACCAAAGAAAAGCTGATTTGTTCTTCCTTGAAATGATATTCAGATTTTGAACAGGTGATGCAAGTGGAATCTACATAAGAAAAAAGATTATGTTTGGCAAGATTAAGGTTAGTAGAAAAGGGGGAACAACGTTGATAAGGTGGAAGAACAAGATCAAAAAGATTACCAGAATGCTTTGGGAATGATATGACTTGTTATTAGTGTACAGCCAGGGCAAAATGCCACCAGTACATCAGTCAATACAAGAGTAATTTGGTGGATTCAAACTAATTCACCAAATTACTCTGTAACTGTAACCTGTAACTAACCTCTGTAACCTGTAACTAACATCTGGATAAATGGCTCCAAAACGGCATCCAAGTTTGCTCCAAGTTTGCACAATGAGATAATCGTAAGCCTGAAATCTTGGATAAAATTTAATGTGCAGGGTACCAAAAACTGGCTCTACAGTGGATGTATTCTCAGTACTTCACTGTGCTTTTGAATGACATTTCAAAGTGAGGATGGCCAGGACAAAGAAAGCCAAAACAGAAGTGAAAAATTGATTTAATTTAAAATATTGGTGTTTTAAATTAAATATTAGTGGGTTGGGTCCAATAGCACAGAATAATCCCAAATTGAGCTAGGTTAAAAAAAGGTTGTGAAACATCGTTTAACATTTTCAAAAGTCCTGTTGTGTCAGACGGGACATAAAATGCGGAGGGACTTTGGCTAAATCTTTGAAGGTTTTTTTAAAATTAGTTATAGCTTGAAGCTGGTATAATTTTAGAGCCTGATGCTTTAGTCTCTGTACCAAGCACCCTCCAGTTTCACTGAATGTTTTTGTACATGGACTGCGGTTAATGGAAATTTCAGCCCAAATGCGTCAAGCAAATAACAGATATGGGAAAACTGCTGCACTCACTGCTGGCTTCACAGGGATTCCCTGAGCCACTTCATAGAAAAAGGAGCCTCTTTTGTGGCCAATGTTCTGTTAAATGAAATGGGTATATATACTTAGTTCACCCAGATTGCATTAGAAATATTTTAATACTTTGTCACACGCTTACCTTGGAGTGTCAACAGGATGTTACATATTTACTTTCTTTTTGTTTTTAAACTTTTCAGTCAGAATAGACTGCGGTATAGTACACCCGTAAAATTTATTGGCATGTTTGCCAAGAATAAATTTCCAGCGCACATTCCAAGGAAAACTGTGAAATGGCCTCCTAACCAAAAGAACTAAGAAGTTGCATTATGTTCCCAACTACTGGTAGTTCTCGACTTATGACCAGAATTTCGGATGCTAAGCAAGCAGATTTTAAGTGATTGTGTCCAATTTTATGATCTTTTCTTTTTTCTTTTTTGCCACAGGTGAATTACTGCAATTGTGTGAATCACGTGGTCGTTAAGCAAATCTAGCTTCCGCCGTTGACTTTGCTTGTTGGAAACTGGCTGGGAAGGTCGCAGGTGGCTATCACATGACCCCGGGACGCTGCGGCAGTTGTAAGTGCCAGGGCTGGTCTTAAGTACGATTGTAACTTAAAACGGTTGCTAAATGGATGGTTGTAAGTTGAGGATTGCTTACATTACATGCTGCAAAGTAAAAGCTGTGGTGCCTGCAACCAGCTGACTTGTTCTTACATGATGCCTTAATTAATCTCGTAAAAGAGTCTTAATTGAGATGGAAAGAATTACTACACAGTGTGATATATCGTGGCTTGTACATACACGATGTGACACGTTTTATCTTTGGGTAGGAGTCAGAGTGCAAACATCTACCCTGTATTTTTGCTCATCCTGTGCTAGAGGAAAGCCTTCATATTGTGGATTCTTATTATTAGCACAGGTGGGTCAAAAAAATCAACAAAAAGAATAAAAACAGGAGATAAAATGATACTGTTAAGCAATAGGATTAACAGTAAAAATCAGCAACTCAGTGGTTTAAGAATTTGGGAGGAAGATAGCTTCTGATACAATCCAAGGGAGATAGGCAGTTGAGAAATATGAAGAAAAATAAATAAATTGCCATCACTATGGTTTATATTTTGTAAGATACAACTTAACAGATCAGCACTTATTTTGTACTGTTTGGCATATGGAAGACAACGGGAGAAAATTGAGAAAAATTAAGACAGGGCAAATGAAAATAATTTTTATTCTCGTTTTAGAATTTGTATTGCAATGGCTAGCTTCATTCACACTGAGCTAAGCTATGCTTTAGTTTAGCCATAATTGAATAAACCATAGATATCTAGGCTGAAGATTACACTAAGCCATACACCATAGTTTGCAAACTATGAACAGGGTTCAGATGTCATAGTTAGCCAATCCTGAATGAACTGTACTGTGATGTAACATAATATGTAAACTCAGACTTGGGTACAATTTGATAGCTGTTAATCTGAAAAATCAGTGAATCTTACTTCTAAATAATTATGTGTGGAATTATATACTTTTGGTTTAGCAGTGTATGAAGATGAGATGATTTTTCATGAATATTTTTTTACTGTTTTTATATGACATTGGAAATGTTATTCTGGCCCAGGCAGTTTTAGCACATTGTAGATTTTATAATAATTATTGAATAAATAGGAGTTAACTTTCCTTCAGTAATAATAAGAGTATTTCAAAAGACCTAATGCTTTATTTTCCTGCTATATCTCATTTGAGGCATATAGGCTACACGTATGTTCATGCAATCACAATACCTTAATGGAAAGATTCTGCTCGCGTATTTGTTGACTTTTCTACCCTGATGTCCTAACTTACAGAGTATGTTCATATAACCCACAAAGCCATATTTTGTTTAACTGTAAAGGAACTGCAGAATACTCTAAGCTATAAATGCTAGTTATAAAGGATACTAGCTAGGTTTGCGCCTTAAGACTCAGACAAGCAAAACCTGGGATATTATGTGAATGCTACTGCACAGTTTCCAGACAGTCTGGCTAAATTCTTGTCTTTCTATGCTATGAATCAATTAAAACTTTATAAATGGAGTGCCATCCTTCTGAGGTACTCTAGAAGAGCTGGATGGCAACTTGAAGAATTTCTAGCCAGCATACTCTGGAAGTTGAAGTTCAAGTTATAGAGAGGGGACTTGATTGAGCAAGCTTACTATATCTGTCCGTCCATCCATTCATCCATCCAGGCCTACACTTGCCACTTAGCTATTCAGCTGCTAAGAGCTCAGCATGGGTAGCAAGGCAAATATTTACCCTGGCTGTAAGCAGCTATCCTTGGATCAGGCTAAGAACAAAAGAGTTAACCACATCTGAAATATTGGTGTGGGATTAACTTTCCCCTGACACATGCTTCTTGCAAACAAATGGTGTTGTGATTGTGCAGGCCTTCATTAGAGGAACTTGATGTAATTACTCTCTTTTCTGCCCTGGCCTTGCAGCTATCTCAGTTCTGTTTATGAACATTATCAGCATGCATGAATTTCTCTCTGATCTTTTCCATGAGTTTCATTTGCATATTGGGCAAATTGCAGTGGCATAATTTCTTAATCTACCACTTCTGTATTGAGCTCATTCCTACTTATTCGACTAACAGTTTTGGGATGTTTAAAGATGCTTCGGTAACAATCCAAGTCACTCTTTGCTTAAGCATAGTTTATTTAATCAACCACCATTGATTGGGTTCCTACATGTCCTTAGGCTAGGGCCAGGCTATTGGATCTGGGCTACAAAATACGAACAACCATTAGATGGCAGAAAAGAGTTAAAAGAGTTTTCTGTATCTCTTTGATACCATCAGGTGATTTAGATTTTTGTAGCCCATTTATTTATGGATCGAGATGGGGTAGCCAAGCTGTGATACCAGTTCTTTGAACTGAAGAGATGTCCCAACATTCATTCCATTTCTTAATTTTTCTCCCCTTCCAGTTATCCTTGCTGCACCTCAGGCTAGAGCACCTTCTCCAACTTGGCACTTTCCAAATGGATTGGCATGCCTAACTCCAGGGAATTCTGGGAGTATAATTGCCAGAGCTGACGAGAATGTGCAAGAGACACAGCCATAGCAAAGTGAAGTGCAATGCATGTAATAAAGTGTGCAACACAAAAGGTGGGTTTAGATCCAATACTTGTACTGCACAGAGACAAATTAGTTCCCAACAACCTAGTGATTGGGTGAGGTTTAGATAATGGCTTTTGACTCTTTTTATTTGATATGTAGCAGTTACAGAATACATTGGTCACATGCACTTGAGCTGTGCTGCAATTACATGCCGCATATATTGGGCTGTGTGTGTGTTTTTTTTTTTAAAGTTTGAAAAAAGGAAATCGAAGGAGAAGTGAATATTGAACACCCTAGAGTAACCTTCCAATACTTGTACCCATTGTGGTCAGTGCCCTCACACGTTTGAAAAATGTAAGCCTCATTTGTAAACTTTTTTCTTCAGCCACACCTTTTTTAAAAAAAATCCTTGAATTAAGCATGTTTTGGGAAAAACAAAATTCAGTTAAATGACTCAATTAATTCCATAATGGTTACTTTTAGTTCCAGTCTGATTACACTGGTTTGGGTTTAAGCTTATTCTCCCCTCGTGCCCCACACACACTTTCACCCTTGAGACAAAATTCTGGGGAAGCTACACAGAGTCTGCCGAACAATGATTTTTGTGTTCTATTTACAGTTCTTGTGATTTGGTCCCGGTCTGATGAACACTGGGCAACCTGACAGTCCTCCAAATAACAGACTTCAACCCAAACCATTATGTCATAACGTACGTAAAAGTAGTCCTTGACTTACAACCGTTCATTTAGTGACCGTCCAAAGTTAGAATGGCACTAAAAAATGTGACATGACCGTTTTTCACAGTTACAACCTTTGGAGCGTCCCCACGATCATGTGATCAAAATTCAGATGCTTGGCACCTGATTCATCTTTATGACGGTCACAGTGTCCCAAGGTTACTACCTTAACTGCAGTGATTCACTTAACAACTGTGGCAAGAAAGGTTGTAAAACGGGGCAAAACTCACTTGAAAATGTTTCACTTAACAACGTAAGTTGTGGTTGTAGCTTGAGGACTACCTGTACTTCGTTGGAAAAAGAAAAACCCCATAGGTAGGTTTTTCTTCATAACAACTTGTCCCTAACTGGCCGTTTAGGCCTTCCAGCAGTCACCCATCACTGCTGCATCAATTTACCTTGTTTGTTTGTTGTCCTCTTCTCTTTCCTTCCACCTTTCCCAGCATTAGATCCTTCTTCAGAGAGCTAGGTCATTGCCTAATGTGTCCAAAATAGGATAAGTTGAGTCTGCTCGTTTGTGTGCTGAATGAAAACTCGGCTCATTTGTTTAGTGAGCCATTTGCTTGTTTTCCTGGAAAGCCATCCATCGTAGTCCCAGGCGGTTTCTCCAACCCCAAATTTAGCTGTCCTCCTTAAGGTTATTTAAGTTTGAACCTGATTTAGGCTAGACATCCTTCAAATGGGATGCCTTCGAATAGGAGGACTGTCCTCTATAAAGCAGAACATGTAGCCTTCCTGCTTGATAAACTTTACCTGGAAAAAGAGTCCATTCCAGTTGCTTGATAGATTTTATATGGGAAGAGAGTCCATCCCTGTTACTAAGGAATTTTATGTGTTCCCTTGTTCCAACAAATGCTGGATCCTGCACTGTCCTTGATCTCAGGAGAACGAGGCAGACAAGAATGCTAAATCCTAACTGTACAGAGCAAGGATTAGAGGTCTAATAATACTACTATTGTGACAGATATGGGAGTCTCCTTTAAGCTTAGATGAATTCCTCAGAGAAAACAGCCTTAGAATCCCACTCCGAATGTATCTGACTAGCTAAAGAAGAAGCTGTTCCATACCAGACCACAAACTGTTTTTGTTTTTGTAATTTAGGAACATTTTAGCAGCTTTTTATCTCCCCATTTTTTCATCTCCAAAAGCTGAATCCATGAAAGGAAGAAACAATAAAAGTGTATGTTGTGGAAAGTGAATATCAGGAGCTATTTTTGATTGGCAAATCGGGAGCCCAATGGAACTCATTAAATCTGACCTTGGGCCTCTTCTGGAAAACAGGAATATTAGAGGCTTGTTCCTGTGCTGTTGAAAGATTTTGATTCCTCCATTGATCAGTTGAATGTGCTTTTCTCTTCTTGAGGCAGTAATGATTCAGTTTGGAGTCACAGATATTTTTTTGCTAATGAAGAACCTTAGCATGAGATCAGGAAAGGTAGGGAGCAGTTCCTGTTAGAGAGGACTGAAGAGTCCAGTGATAACAATGCATGAAAATTTGTTTGCCTGCAAATACTGTTTTACCTCCTTATACTTTTGTATAAGCAGAGACATCACCCTGCCAACAAAAGTGAGTATAGTCAAGGCCATGGTTTTCCCAGTTGCAATGTATGGATGTGAAAGTTGGACCATGAGAAAAGCTGAGTGACAAAGAATCGAGGCCTTTGAACTCTGGTGCTGGAGAAGACTCCTGCGAGTCCCCTGGACTGCAAGGTGATCCATCCGGTTAGTCCTAGAGGAGATCAACCCCGACTGCTCTTTAGAAGGCCAGATCCTGAAGTTGAAACTCAGATACTTTGGCCACCTAATGAGAAGGAAGGACTCACTAGAGAAGGGCCTAATGCTGGGAAAGATGGAGGGCAATAGAAGAAGGGGACGACAGAGAATGAGTTGGCTGGATGGAGTCACTGAAGCAGTAGGCGTGAACTTAAATGGACTCCAGAAGATGGTAGAGGAACGTTGTCCTTGGGGTTGCGATGGGTCGGACACGACTTCGCAATTAACAATAACAACTTTTGTTCATTCTTCTTAAATTGTATGATCTTTAAAAGAAAAAAAATCATATTGATCAAGTATGATTTCAACATACTTTCAAATAATATTGTCTTTGGACAAGTCTGAAGGGATTATCAGATATCAACTGCCCAAACATTTAATAGTTAATAAATTCAGGCACAATTCTTCACTGAATTCCTAAACCCTTCTCTTCAATAGTACGCACATACAAACACAAGATGTGTTCACAATTTACACTAAGAATAAGGTTGGTAGCCATGGTTGCAGCATAAATCAGAAGTAGTTGGGTTTACATTTTATGCTAAGCTATAACTATTTAATATTTATTTAAGCATAAAGAATGGGTTAATTCTACATGCAAAGCCATAAATACTGTAAGTCCCATAATGACTCGATGTATCAAGTAGATCAACACATTATCAGATTTTGTTGAATCTCACCTATCATGTCTGTGGCCAATATTGAGGAATCATCTAACGTTCATAGGACCATACCTTTTCCTTGATTTATATAACTGTAGTAAATAGAATTATATCATCTAAGTCCCGATGAACTATAGAACAGGCAGATGTTTATAAAAAGTTTTTGGTTATGTCAATTTCTCCCTATCTGCCATTCCCTGATGGGATTACAGCTCTCAAAATTGCAGGAATTGTTGGTTCAAAATATCTGGAGGGCATTAGGCTGGGGGAAGCTGTAATATTCTAAAGATTCCATTACAAAGGAATATAAAATGAACTCAATATGTACAGCTGTTTTCTTGGACTTTCAGTCACCGTGCCCTAATGAGGAAGTCAGTAGCAAATTGCATATCTTCTATTTCAAAGATCTCAAGGTCAACACTTGGCATCTCTGTTAAAGGCATCCCAAAAAATATGGCTGGCATGATCTGCCTGATAGTCTATCAGACTCTTGAAGCACTATCTATTAAGAAACTATTGAATTGCTAATAAGTCTCTCAAATCAAAATACACAAGTCCTTAATAAAGTAACTGGGTTATAATGTACCGATGAGGCTTTCCTGTTATTGTTATTTCAATTTGGATCTTGCCTTTCTATCAAAAGAGCGGCCTAGATGACTAACACCTTGCTCTTCTCCTTTCCCTGGTGCTGACCCCCAGCATATATAGCATCATACAAGCTGTGTTCAGACATTACACTAAGCTATACATTTGACTAAGCCAAAGCCAAAACTTAACAAATCATTGTTTGGTATAGACAATCTGTGAATGCAGCATGAAGCATCTTATAGACTTCTCTTGTAAAGTTGCTAAAACTATAATGCCTTATAGAATAAAGTGGACATGTGATACCAGAAGAAGACACTTATTTGAATAAACTACATGAGCTAATATATATGCCTAAAAATAAGAAAATGTACATAGTATTATAAATATATAGTAATATGGCAGTTTTTGATCATGGGGAAAGTGAGCCGTGAGTCCGCCAACATTTACTAGTTTGTTCAATTGATTCTCATTTTCTGATCTTGCACATATATTCAACAATTAAATACTTGTTTAAACTGTTAAAGTATGGATGGCTACTCGTGGTTCAATCTGTTGTCAAACATAGCTTGGCTTGTTGGGCAGACAACAACTGAGATACGTAATGGTCCACCTTTTGAAGCCATATCACACCATTGTCACATGTGGTACAGCTCCAAGGAATTTCATGACTCCCTGAGTCAGTCTTCCTGCAAATAACATCTCAGGTATTCTAAGTTATGAGGCAGCAGAAAGCAGATGCAAATCAGCCCCTAGGTTGGGCATATACATGGTTACAGATGTTTACTTTATTGCTTAAAACATCCATATTCTTTTCTGGAACAAAACTGTGTTTATTTTTGTAAGTTATAGAGCAGCAGAAAGAAACTATTTCTGTAGTCACAATAGTAGTCTGACTTAATTTGAAATACGAAACTGTCTATAGAAAAATATGAATAATAAAAAACTGTATCTTGTTTGTACTTTGTTCTTATCAGAAAGCCAAGAGTTCTAAAAATGGACTGGTAGCTGAGAAGGGGAAAATAAATGTTATTGAGGTTTTCACTTAACGTGAATGAATCCAGCCATTGTGGCTTGTAAATTATTTTTAAGACCTAGTGTAAACAGGCAAACCACAGTTAAGCAAACTATGGCTTAGCATATGTGAATTGTATCCCTGAAGTCATGATTAATGTATCATAAGTAATATAAATTAGCAAAAGTCCTTAACAAATGTAGGTGAGATAAATAGCTCCAGCTAGCTACTCTTAAGGGACAGATTAATTGTCTCCCGTGCTATGAGAAGGCAAAGCACTAGGAATATGAAATCTTTTCAAAACTCTTTTGTCAGCTAGAACAGCGGTTCTCAATCTGTGGTCACGACCCCATTTGGGGTTGAACGACCATTTCACGGGGGTCGCCAAACAACGCAGTCCGCCATTTTTTTCCCTTTTTCCTTAGCTGTGCTACTCCCTTTTATTCTATTGGCTTTTGAAAGCCAATAGAATAGACTCTCTTGAATAGAGTCTAATTCTATTGGCTTTCAAAAGCCAATAGGAATTGTCCAGGCTGTCTCTGCCCTGCTGAGCCCGCCAAAAGTCCCATTCTGCAAACGGTGCTGCAAGTTGTCTGCAGCGAAGGTGAGCTGTCTGGAAGTTTCCACCCCTCCCTGCTGAGCAACTACTAAAAGTGTAAGTAAAAGAGGGCCAGGGGTGGAAGGCCGGCGGGCGCAGGGAGGGTTGCTGGTGCAGGTGGGGCCCGGCGGGTGCCTTACCTCCCTTGGGCTGGGCCAGCTGGTGGCCCAGCCGGTGTTGGCCTGCGCTGTCTCTGCTGCTTGCCAGCTATGCCTCAGCCGGCGCAGAGGGCGGCACCACGCATTCGTGGCGCTCCCGGGCAGGGAAAGTCCTCGACTTACGACCGGTTGGGTAGTCCTCGACTTACGACTGGTTGGGGGTCGCGGCATTAAAAAGGTTGAGAACCACTGAGCTAGAAGAATGTGTTTCAACATAGCCTTTGCAGCAAATTTGTCTGGCATTTATGAGAAGCTGGAGACTTTCCCAAACAACAACCAAAAAACCTTGGCCGTTTGCAAACTTCAGTCCAGATGGGCTCTCTCTCACTATCACACCATCTTAGCATCTCAAGTGAGCAGGGTGTAAAAGATGCCTTGTATGACAGCCATTGTGTTGGTCAGGAGGTCTATAATTACCAAGATAAGAAATGCGGAGGTGGGTGGGTGGTGGGATAGAAGCAAAGAACTCAAAGAGTTCTGGAGTTGTGCAATTACATCCATATTTCCATTCTTTCCAGGAATAGTTTCAATGAACTGACGGAATTACAGAATTTTCGATTTGCCATCCTCTTTGCAGGTAGGCTGCATGGGTAACCAAGCATTCTGGGCATATAGGTCCCAAGATCTAATCAAGGATGTTGGGTGTAGAATACAACATGACTTCTCAGAATGCTTCTTACAAATATAACTCTTTCGGATCTGGCCTCTATGGCTGGGGAAAGAGCCACATTATGTAATTTTGAAAAACATTGAGAACTAGTAGGATTGCTTTTTAAAGTTCCTATTTCCACAACTTTTCCAGCATGCCTGGGAAGCTAATTCAGGAGTGTCAAATTGCTATGGGCTGGTTTTGCAGAAAACTGGAAGGAAATGCTAGTTTTCAGCAAAAACATTGTAAAACCTGGTCACATGACCACAGTTATCACTGCTGCCCAGCTGCAGAGTGCCCAAAGTGGAATCACATGACGAGGGGGGGGGAGATTGTTGGACTTTGAAACTGCATCATAAGTACCCGCAGGGAAATCTATTGTAACTTCAAATGGCCACTAAGTGGCTAGTCATAAATTGAGGATTCCTGTACTTCATATTATCTTCTCTTGTTTTCTTCTCTTAAGACAGTGATGGCGAACCTTTTAGAGACTGAGTGCCCAAACTGCAACCCAAAACTGACTTATGCATCGTCGAGTGCCAGGTGGGTGTGGCCCATTGGGTGGGCGTGGCCCATTGGGTGGGCGTGGCCCATTGGGTGGGCGTGGCTGCAGTGGTAACAGCAGACTGGGTGGGACTAAAAAGTTCAATCAATCAATTCCAATTTTGCAAGATCTTTTTTTTCCAACAAGAAGTTGAAATTGACTGATTGCACTTTTTTTTTTTTTTTTTTTTTTTTTGCGGCTGAAGGCCTAGGACTGGGGCAACGATGCGCGTGCCCACAGAGAGGGCTCTGAGTGCCGCCTCTGGCATCCGCGCCATAGGTTCGCCACCACTGTCTTAAGACATATTTATAAAGTGCTGGGAACCTACTGGTTTATCAAATATTTCTTTCCCCACTGAAGAACTCCAGGGATTATTCTGTAGAAACATGTAATCATTTTATAATCTCCCTATTATTGAAAAGAGATTGATGACAAGATTTAACATTCTCAGATTTTTGTTTCAAAGGCCATTAACCTATGTATAAAATGGTAGAGTTATCTGTATAGGAATTATTTTTTATCTGGCTTTAGTAGTATCAATCCAACACCTATTTTTTTAATGAATTAAGTATTGTTTTGCCCACTCCTGATAAAGCTAAAACACTGTTGTGGGTCTTTACAGATTGAAACATTTAAAGCCCTTCATTTTGTTTTGTAAAACATGTATTATAGCATTGCATTTAATCCAGGAAAAGTTATGTAGACTTTCTGAAAGGCAGAAGCTGATAGTGTTCAGAATGAAAAGGATTAAATGAAAGTTTATAGTCAAGGGTATTCCCTCTAGCCTATGGAAATGCATGTGTTTGGCTCAAACTGAATGGAAAAGTGAAATTACAAGGGTACTGTACTGTTAGTTTGCTGATATTTGCAAGTTTTAAGTACTAATACCAGTCTTCTGAGAATACCATCTCAAAAAGCAAACCTTTTAAATACAGACTCCAGAGTGGTCAGGATCTGAAGTAGTAAAGTAATGTGCAGTTCAAAATTTAGTTATTTGACCAGCTGTGTTTTCAGATCATGCTAATTCTGGAACTAGAAATTTACTACTGTTTACCATTTTGCAGTGGCAGTAGAAAGGATATCAGGCTGCAGTCCATTTTACACTTTCGGCTATGAATTGCTTAACAGTAGTTTATTAAATAAACCACAATGGGATCCACCGAGGAACAAATTATGGTTTGCAGACCATAATAGCTGGCTCATATGTGCTAACCCCAAGCCAAGCCGAGCCAAGCACATCACTGCTTAGCATCTTACAAGAGCCCTATGTTTCCTGTAGCTGAGAAGAATAGGAAGGATGCATCAGCAAGGCAACACAACAAAATGTTTCACACCACTAACACAGCACTCACCAAAGGTAGAACATCATGCTAAGCCATAAATTTTAAACCCAGTTGGTGAGGGTTTAATGCATTGCTCTAGCACATAAATCACCCCTTACAAACAGCAAGTGTCTGAGTTCCTGTGCTAAATGAAGCACCATTCAGTGGCTTAACACATTGTGAAAACTATGTTCCCAAATCATTCTTCCCATGCTCCGTTCTTTCCATAGAGACCATCCTTTTACTTGGAATAGGCTCCGGGGGGGGGGGGGGATTGATTTCTTGCAGGAAGGTTGCATCTTTGGCTTATGGGTGGCCAATGCATCTGGCTCAGCCTGCCACTGTGATGGAGATTGTGTTCAAGTCCAAAGGATTCTACCTTCCGTGACCCTGGTCCAAACTATTTGGCTGGCCCCTCTCAGTCTGAGTTGAAGTCTGTCCTTTTTCCTCCCACTTATAATTTGCTGGCTGAAAGAATCTTTTTTTAAACTAGAAAACATGGTAGGTAACCTCAATTCTGACAGTGGTCACTCCAAGGTTCTCAGCTTCACCACAATGACTAAAGTAAATACTTAAATCTACTATTTTCACTTTTGGGGGGGGGGGGGGGAAGCAAGAGGAGCAATTGTGCCACCTTGCGGAGACTCAGACATCCTGAATGCAGAGAGGAACACAGAGCAGGGATCCCCAATCTTGGCAACTTTAAGACCTGTGGACTTCAATTCTGGCTGGGGAATTCTGGGAGTTGAAGTCCACAAGTCTTAAAGTTGCCAAGGTTGGGAGCATAGAGCATTTCCCGTTATCTACTAGAGCAGCAGGTCGCCAAGCAAGGCTGTCTGCCATTTGTTTTCCCCTTTTCCGACGGGTGCCTTACCTCACTTGGGCTGGGCCAGCTGGTGGCCCAGCCGGTGGTCGGCCTGCTCCGTCTCTGCCACTTGCCAGCTACACCTCGGCCTGCGCAGGGGGCGGCACCACACATGTGCGGCGCTCCCGGGCAGGGAAAGTCCTCAACTTACGACCAGTTGGGTAGTCCTCGACTTACGACCGGTTTAGTCCTCGACTTATGACCAGTTGGGGGGTCACGGCATTAAAAAGGTTGAGAACCACTGTACTAGAGGCACAAGCAGAGCCATTTTAGTAATAACAATAAATGTATCCTAAATAGGGAAGCAACATTCTGCTTAAACAAAAATAGCTCTGTTAATTTTAAGAGTTTGGGGATGCTAGTTTCTCCTCTTTATAGTAGGAAGATGGAAATAAGCCGTGGGATAGGAACAAAAGTACGTTCTGTTTGATTGGGTGAGGATAATTAATGTTTATAACCCTAATGCAATGAAATTTCATTTTAATGTATGCCGATTAGTATACATTTAAATGACAATATTCTATCCTCTTCTACAGTCTATTCTATTCTGTTCTGTTCTATTCTAATTCTATTCCATTCCACTGCATTGCATTGCATTGCTAGATTTGTTAGATTTCAACCACAACATAGATACATGGATTTCAACTCCCAGAATTCCTCAGCCAACATGCCTTTGGATAAGTCACCTGATCTGTAATCAGTTATGGTGCATTGGGTTCAGATCAAAGCTAGGATTCTCTACTCTTTTCATGCATCATATCTGATTTAGCCACACATCACAATGCAGGATAATTTGACAAAATGTTTCTACAGGTAGTCCTCGACCGTCTTATTTAACAATTCAAATGAGGTCAGAATTTCCATTGTTAAATAAGACGGTTGTTAAGCAAGTTGCACCTGATTTTACTACTTTCTTTGGGGTTAAACGAATTACAGTGGTTGTAAAGTGAAACATGCAGTGATGAAGCGAATCCAGTTTCCCCCATTGGCTTCGCTTGTTGGAAGCCAGCGGGGAAAGTCACAAATGGTGATCACGTGACCCTGGGATGCTGCCACTGTGGAAATAGATGCTAGTTGCCAAGTGCCTGAATTTTGACCACGTGACCCTGGGGATGCTGCGACAGTTGTAAGTGTGAGCACCAATTGTAAGTAACTTTTTTCAGTGCCTTAGAGTGGCCATTAAATGAAAGGTTGTAAATCAAGGATTACCTGTATAATTAGGCACCAGAACTGGGCTGGGAAAACTCCAAAATACAGCGCCATAAGCTCTCTTTGGACTGCAATTATTGCATGATCCATGATTTAAAAGTAAAAATGTTGACTATCTCTTTCCTGCCATCTCCTGGCGCTCAGTTTTTCTGACCTCCAGATACGGGAAATAAACTCAAATTTACCCATTGCAATGTTGGGTTTCTGCACATATGAAGCCCAATCAGAGAGTACAAGTAGTCCTCAACTTTACGACCACAACTGAGCCCCAAATTTATGTTGGTAAGCAGGAGAGTTGTTAAGTGAGTTTTGCCTCATTTTTATGACTTTTCTTGCCACAGTTGTTAAGTGAATCACTCCAGTTGTTAAGTTAGTATCACAGTTGTTAAGTGAATCCGGCTTCCCCATTGACTTTGCTGGTCAGAAGGTCGCAAAACCGTCATAAATGAGAGTCAGTTGCCCAGCGGCTGAATTTTGATCACGTGGCCGTGAGAATGCTGCAAAGTCGTAAGTGTGAAAAACGGTCACAAGTCACTTTTTTTTCCCAGTGCCCTTGCAACTTCGACGGGTCCCTAAATGTAACTGGAGGACTAGCCTCATTGCGTGGGAATGAACCCAGCCTTACCTGCACGCGAGAGCAACGGGCGCGCCCCCCCTGTCCTCCCGCCGCCTTAGGAGAGCTCACCCCAAGCTTTGGCACCGGGCAGCCCCGCCCGCGCACTCTCGTGCCCGGGGCGAGGCGGCTGCGCGCGAGTCCTCCCCGGCGGGGGCGCGCGCCTCAAGCAGAAGCTGCGGGTCCGCGGCGTCTCGGGCGCCCCCTCCTCGCTGCAGCGCAGCCGCCGCCGCCGCCGCAGCAGCAGCAGCGCCAGGCCGGGCGGAGCCGGAAGCCGCCGGGCGAGCCTGCCCCACAGCGCGGCGGTGCGCAAAGGAGGGCGCGGCGGCGGCGGTGTGGCTCCTCCATGGCGCTCAACCTGAGCCGGAACGGGCCGGCGCTGCAGGAGGCCTACGGCCGGGTCGTGGCCTCCGCGAGCCCGACGGACTGGTGAGGGGCTGCGCCGGCGGGAAGGGGGCGGTCGGTCTGGCTCCGGGCGCAACTCGGGGAGGCGAGGCGGCAGGGCTCGCCTGGAAAGGTCCGGCGGCGGGTTTGGGAGAGAGCGCGGGGCAGAGAATGGGGAGGGGGGTGGAGATGGTGAGGCAGCGAGGTCTTAAGCCCCTCCGGAGGGAGAGCGGGGCGAGGGCAGCCCCCGGCACGAGGGGGGGATTCGCGGGGAAAGAGGCCCCGCGCGCCCTGGGGGAGTCGGATGCGCGCTGGGGCGTCCCAGGAAGCCGGGATGGGTTGTGATGTGTGTGGCGGGGGAGAGAGAATGGGGGGGGGGGGGTGTTGCAGCTGCCTGCTTCCCCCCCCCCGCTCCGAAAGCTGAGCATGGACTCGGTGTGCTGCCGTAGACGGGAGAAGTTGATGGGGCAGGAAGGCTGGGCAGAGGCCGGGAGTGGAGGAGCTGGGCATGGGGTGACTGGTGGTCGGAGGCGTTTGGGGAATGACTCTGGGCAAGGGTCTGCATCCCAGCAGGACCTCACTTGCACAGGAGTCTGCCCCAACGCTGCCCCTTTTCAGCTGCTCTCTCTAAGACCCCCCACTCTTTTTTTGCTTAAAACGGAGGTGAGCAATTTGAGATTTAGTCCGTTGTGAGCCAACCCCTTGTTGTCTTGCACGTTGTGTAAACCAGCCATCCTGCTAAATCATTATATGATTTGTTTGAGAGGCAGAGCACCTTGTGGGAGGGAAAACAATTGTGTTGGTTAACCTGTGTTTAATTTATTATGTGAACTCGGCCACCTTGGGTAAGGAGGGGAGAGTGCGTTACTTTTAAGGAGTGGCATAGATTGGTGGAGATCAAGTGAGCAGGCCAGTACGATAATGGGAATACTGCATAGCTGGCTAGAAATGCCTTAATGGGCTTTTGCAGAAAAACCTAAATTTATAAATGTACTTATACAGTAATTGATGTAAAAATTGGAAGCCATTTCTTTGTATCTTTTTCCCTTTTCCTTCTTTCTTTCTTTCTTGCACTTTTTGCTCTTTCAGCTTTCTCTTTGATTTCTTTTTTCCCCTTACCTTACGTTAGTTATTATCTCGCCTTTTAAAATGTTTAATAAAATTATATATATATAGAAAAAAATAGGGCCCAGCAATATGTTTGGAAAAAAGTGAAGGCTTAGGAGTTGTATTCAATGGAAGGAGTCTGGATAGACCTTACAACTGTCATTAGGTCATTTTAAGAATAACTGGTAATCTGTGTAAAGCTGTAAACATACTTACCCATTTGTCATTTTGAAGAAAGAGGCATGCAATCATATAAAAACAAGGAAAAAGTAAAGAGTTAAAAGTCGGAGAATAACATAACGCAGTTTGAATAAACCACAATCATATCTAGGCTTAGTGTGATGTAAGAATCCAATCACTGAACCATCAGGTCAACAATATTCTGAATCTGAAAGGTTATGCTCAGTCTCCAGTGAGTAACATAACAATCATTTCATTTTGCTTCATTGTTTTCAGGGCTCTGTTTACATACGAGGGGAACAGCAATGACCTCAGAGTGGCAGGGACTGGAGGTGAGTGAATTTTTGCAAAGCATTCTTTAAGAAAACCAAACTTTTCTGTGGCCTAAAAAGTTTCCTTCGGATTTTTGGCTGAATGTTTCTCATGAAGTCTGTTTTCTAGATTTTGTCTGTCCTTAAGTTCTAAAACAGAGACTGCTTGATTATGGCTTTTGGATCCAAATGCAGCTGGTCCCATGGTTTTGTAGGGCATCTGTAGCATTTCTCTAGAGCCTGGTTCTTTGGTGTGATGGTGACACATTCATTCATTTCTGCTTGTTTATACATATGGATTCTGGGAAGTCTCCAGACCGGTCCTGGGAAATGGATTGTAGGAGATGCAATAGGTGTGTACTCCTGTTTTCCAGTGGAAAGGAAGCAATATATTATACTTTAAACATGCTACAAATCTGTGTGGAGGTTCATAGGTGACCTGAACATTTGTTTTATGGAATTTACTTTAAAAAATTCTTTATAAAAATAAAATTGCAAGGGAAAATGCTAATTAGCAGCCAGAATGCCAGTTTGTACATTAAAGAGCTGTATATAAAATGGCAGTTTTAGCAACTTGAACTGCTTATTAAATATACTTGTTTTGGCATGCTGCCGTTAGGAAATTTTTAGTGGATGGAATGACTGTTGCCTGTTGCATTTACAAAAATATATTCTTGTCTTTCATTAGTCATTGTATTTTTGCCACCATAATTGCAGGCATTGGGTAAATGTGCAAAGCCTACGTCTTTCTGATTTTTTTTTCTCTTTCTCCACGCTTATGCCTGTTGGCATAAATTGCACAGAATGATGCATAACAGGTTATATCTGAATTGGCTACCAAAGTAGAATCAGAAGCCATGAATTGTACAGGTGTTCCACCTGTCACCTAGCAGTTATTTGAAGTTACGCCTGATCTCTTTGGGGGTACTTAAGATTCAGTTCCTAATGCCCATCCCCACCCACACCAGTGCACATGACTGCATTTTGGATGCTCGGCATCTGACCTGCATTTCCAGCCATTTGCAACTTCCCGCTTTGTGTGACCATGCTTCACGTTGTTTTTCCTGAGAACCTGCATTTCCGGTTTTTAGCAAAATCAGCTGATAACAAAAAAAAAATGGTTCACTTAACAGCCTTGGCATTCCCTTAACAATTCCCTTAACAATTTCTGCAAAAAAGATAATAAAATTGGGTTGGTAATATAGATGACCCATTTTATGACCGTCATGACTTATGACCATATTGGGCAAGTTCCATTACAGACATAAGTCAGGGCTTCAAAGTGAATTGATGGGATGTGTGTATATATATGTATGTATGTATGTATGTATGTATGTATGAAGCCCTATCTATCACCTACTTACCTATCTATCTATCTATCTATCTGTCTATCTATCTATCTATCTATCTATCTATGATTTTGCCATGGTAAAATGTTGGGTAGAAAAATTAGCAGTGAGGAGTTTTTTGATTGGCTTCTAATTTGCAGAATACACACAAATTTGCCGAAGGGCAAATTTCAAGGAAGTTCAAATTCAGTTTTTAAAATGGTTACTTTTGAGCCAACGTCTCTTTTAATCTGCTTTTTTAAAGAGAATGCTGTATAAAAGTTACAAGGACAGGAATTATACCCTATACCTACATAGCACGTAATAACATAGTTACCAAAAAGATCCCTTTTATGGAAATTTTAGTAAAAATGCAATAAGAAAAGAGAACTCTTGCAAAGTGTATCTCATCTAGAAACTCCTTCAGTTCTTTTTTGTTTTTTTTTAAGGGAAGTAGCAGACATAGCTCAGTATTTGGTGGTTTTTCAGTGGAAAAATCAACATTGAAAAAAAAACAGTTGCCTTTTTTTGTTTCACATTCTAAATGGCTACTTTTTGAGACAATTCAATTGACTGAATAATGAGAGGATGACTATGAAGAAGAAGAAGAGAAAAGAAAAATGGTAATTATAACGTGGAGGCAGAATAGGATGATTTAATGAAGGGAACATCAAAGATTAAGAGATTGTGTTGGCAGGAAGTGAGACTTCAGATGTGGAAGTGATTCACTGGCTGTTGTTTTAAGATTGCAGCTCAGTAGATGCTTGAAACTTCTCAAGGACATCCTTATACTGTATATATTCTGGATCTTAAAGCTATAATGATGAGCTTCTATTACCTAATGGGTTTCCAAAGTATTTTTGGCACAGTAAATGTGGTCTTGTGCCTACTAAGTAGTATTTTATGGATATTGAGCCTCCTTCACTAAATTTAGACTTAGAATAACAGAGTTGGAAATGACCTTGTAGATCATCTAGTCCAACCTTCTGCTCAAGCAACAGACCATTTCTGACAGGTGTCTATCCAGTTTCTTTTTAAGACCCTCCAGTGATGAAGCTCCCACAGCTTCTGAAGGCAAGCTGTTCCTTTGATTGTTCTCACTGTCAGAAAATTTCTCCTTAGTTCTAGGTTAAATCTCTCCTTGATCAGTTTCCATCCATAGCTCCTTGTCTGGGCTGCCCCCCCTCCTCTCTGTTGTCCCTCTCTGGGTTGACCCTCTCCTCTCTGTGACAGTCCCTCAAATATTGGAACACTGCAATCATGTCACCCCTGGTCCTTCTCTTCACTAGACTAGCCATGCCCAGTTCTTGTAACCGTTCTTCATAGATTTTAATCTCCAGGCCCCTAATCATCTTTGTTGCTCTTTGCTCTTTCTAGAGTCTCAACATGATTTTTATAGGGTGGTGACCAAAACTGGATGCAGTATTGTAGATGTGGGCTTACTCGGGCTTTATAGAGTGATACTGGTACCTCCCATATCTTGATTCAATCTCTCTCTCAATGCAATTTAGGATTGAATTGGCTTTTTTGGCTGCTGCCGCACAAAGCTAGGTCATATTTAATTGATTGTCCACTAGTTCTGTTCATGCCCAGGAGCTGTGTCTTCCTTCAGTTAGTTCTGCAATTCTGTGCTTATTCTTTCAATATCAACAATCACAATTTATTAGCCTAGTACAGTGATGGTGAACCTTTTAGAGACTGAGTGCCCAAACTGCAACCCAAAACCCACTTATGCATCGTCAAGTGCCGGGTGGGTGTGGCCCATTGGGTGGGCATGGCTGCAGTGGTAATGGTAGACTGGGTGAGACTAAAAAGTTCAATCAATCAATTCCAACTTTGCGAGGTCTTTTTTTTCCCCTGAGAAGTTGAAATTGACTGATTGAACCTTTTTTTTTGTTGTTGTTGCACACGGCGGCAGAGGCCTAAAGCAAAAAGGTTTTATAAAACCCAGCTGAAGGCCTAGGACTGGGGCGACGGCGCGCGTGCCCACAGAGAGGGCTCTGAGTGCCGCCTCTGGCACCCGTGCCATAGGTTCACCACCACTGGCCTAGTCGAAACTCAATGCAGATAGTATTTGTCCTCTATAACAATCTAGCCTACAGGTAGTCCTCAACTTATAACCATTGGCTTAGCAACCATTAAAGTTACAACGGCACATGTAACTTTTAAAAAAGTAACTAATGACCAACTCCGAAGGTCCATCTCCTCACAACCCCATGGACCACAGCATGCCAGACCCAGCTGTACCTCCACTGTCTCCCGGAGTTTACCCAAATTCCTGGTCATTGTGTCCGTGACGCTATCTAACCATCTCATTTTCTGGGCTCCCCTTCTCCTTTTGCCTTCAATCTTTCCCAACCTCAGGGTCTTTTCGAATAAATCCTCTCTTCTCATTAGGTGGCCAAAGTATTTGTACTTCAGCTTCAGGATCTGTCCTTCCAAAGAACAGTCGGGGTGGGATAACATATAAACCAGGCCAGAGGGTTTATCTGTAGCGAGACTGAGCATCTGGTTCCTTCAGGTGTTGGCTGTCTGGTGTTGAAGTATCACCTAGAATTTCTGGAGTTCTTTTTCTGGTTCTAGATCAGCATATTCTGTATATTGTTTGCAGGCGATTCTTAATGTGAACCTGCTTTAACTTGAGCTCTCTCATTCTCAAACAATGATATATAGATGGTGGTCTGGAGGAGATGGTGGACGAGCTCAATAGTGGGAAAGTAATGTATGCTTTCTGCCGAGTGAAAGACCCCAACTCTGGCTTGCCGAAATATGTGCTCATTAACTGGGTATGTACAACGCGATTCCATTCAATCATAAGAGTTGGAAGTTATTTGTAGAAAATGTTGTCCTTCTTGCTATATAAAAAGTAAACAAATGTCAAGGTAAACTGACACTGTTTGAACATTTAGGATATAAAAACAAGTTGGAAATACATATAAGCCATGGTTAATAAACAGTACTTTGCTTCACATATCATGGTAAGCCAAAACCATGGAAATCGCCTTACGGCTTAGTGTAAGCATAATGTTGGACTTAAGATGAAGCGAATTATATTCAGGCTGCTCTGAACATAATGCCTGGAATGTTTATGCCATTTAACCCGCCCCCCCCCCCCGAACTTAATTCTCTCCGCAAAGCTGTATCAAATCAAGTATTTAAATGTTTGCACTCATTGCACACATTCCTAAATACAGTATCTTTGAAAAGATAAACATGCATTTCACACTGCCAAGTAAAAGCTCTAAAGCTCCCTTAAATCCAGGGCTGGACTGTTTGGGAAAGAATAAATATTTGATAAACTGGCCAGAAGGGAAACATGCTAGCAAAATATAGGGCAGAAGTTGTCAGAATCTGGATCAGTCTCAGCAGGGGGAATGTTCAGCATCGCTAACCCCAAAGTCGCTTTGGGGACAGATGGCATCAAACTCCCATGAAATAAATGGAGGGGGCAATACTTAAGAATGGAATGCAGGTAATCCTTGACTTACAACAGTTTGTTTAGTGCCCATTTGAACTTAAAACAGCCCTGAAAAAAGCGACTTTTATGACAATGTTTTTCACACCGATGACTTTGTGGCATCAGGTGATCAAAATTCAGATGCTGTGCAACCGACTCATATTTATGACCGTTGCCGTGTCCCAGGGTCACATGATCACCTTTTGTGACCTTCAGACAAGCAAAGTCAATGGGGAAGCTAGGTTCACTTCACCGGATTACTAACGAAACAACTGCAGTGATTCACTTAACAACGGTGGCAAGAAAGGTCGTAAAAGGGGGCAAAATTCACTTAACTGTCTCGCTAAGCGACAGAAATTTGGGGCTCATTTGTGGTCGTAAGTCAAGGGCTATGTAGCAAAGGTGACATACATTTGGATACCTTTTGTTCGCCTTTAATGACAAAACCTGTAAACCTGTGGCATGTTAATCATTAATAGATGGTCACACAAGATTTCACATATCACAGCGTAGTTCATGAAGTGTGCAAAGGGAAGCGGGACCCGTGAAAGCAAAAGTTGTAATAAATGGGTTGATCTCTCTAATATTGCAGAAGTGTTGATTAGGTTTTGCAGTGAGAGATTTGGTACATAAAGCGAAACGAAGTTAAGGAAACATCGGTGTTTAGTTGTAGGCCGAAATGAATAGGCCTCTTTTGGAACAGGCTTCTCAATCTGTTGAGTAGACTTTAATTGTGTTGAATGACAACTGTCCTCCTTCCCAGCCATTAACTGTGGTGCCTGGAAATTTGGGGAGATGTAAACCCAAAAGTTGGGAAAGGCTGAGTTGAATCAGATCAAACCCGCCTTTATTGCAGTCATTAACCAGTATGTCCAACTCCAAGGCATCTTAGCTTTCTCCTGAAACAGCAATAGCACGTAGACATATATGCCGCTTCACAGTGCTTTATAGCCCTCTCTAAGTGGTTTACAGAGTCAGCATATTGTCCCCAACAATCTGGGTCGTCCTTTTACTGTCCTCGGAAGGATGGAAGGCTGAGTCAACTCAGTGAGACTCGAACTGCTAGCAGCTGGCAGTCGGCAAAATTAGCCTGCAATACTGCATTCTAACTGCGCCACCACAACTCACGGGAATGGATTAATGAAAGTTATGTTTTTCAATCTTGGCAATTTGAAGAGGTGGGGACTTCAGTTCCCAGAATTCTACCGCCAGTCGTGTTGATTGGGAAATTCTGGGAGTTGAAGTCCCCCCCCCCCCATATCTTCATGTTGCCACAGTTGAGAAACACGTGAGTTAAAGTGTTCCAGGGGTGATTTGTACATTTCACAATGTGTGCAATATGGAACAAGGACTACTTTCTTTCAGGGCTACGGCATATTTGGAATATCACACACCATCCTCTGTTTCAAACGGTACACACAAGCACAGAGTATGCCTCAAAAATGGGGTGTTCTGGGAGAGGGGGAAAAAAAGGAGTATTTTGTTCATGGGAGTGTCATTTTTTTTGAGATCATCTTTCATGTTCTGTTTTTAAAAACGGCGGTCTTTTTATAGAATCTGGAATACTCTTTTCCTCCCATTTTTCCTAACCTAAATTTGGAAACCAGAACTTGGCTGTTTCTTACAAGTGCTTGACTGAAGAACTCTCTTACTCCGAGAGTTGCGTACGTTCAGGAATGGCATTTCAGTGTGGCATTTCCTTCCCTGTCACCACTTGTATGAAGGATGATATGAGTCCCTCGGTTTAAATTCTCTCTGTGTTTTTCTCTTGGCAGTTTGGGGAAGGCGTTAACGACGTGAGAAAAGGAGCCTGTGCCAACCACGTCACTTCAGTGGTAAACTTTTTGAAGGTATTATTTGAGTTTTATTCTCTCTCATCCTTTTGCAGTTGAGTCCCTTCCCATATACACAGTTCTACAGAGGTTTTTTCGAAAGCACACAGAAACATACACACATACACACACCTGTAATAATATTACCCTGAGAGACAGGAAGTTTTAAGCCAGGGTCTTCAAACTTGGCCCTTTTATGACTTGTGGGCTTCAACTCCCAGAATTCCTCAGCCAGGCACACTGGCAGAGGAATTCTGGGAGTTGAAGTCCACAAGTCATAAAAGGGCCAAGTTTGAAGACCTCTGTTTTAAGGCAACTGGTTAAAATTTTGCTTTCTGGGTACCCTGGAATGGAGGATGGAAAGTTATACAATTGTAGACTCTTAGTTTTGTGTTACTTTTTGTTTAGAACAGGATCCTTGGGAGAAAAGATTCATCTACCAAACATTACTTATTCTTGAAACTACAGGGAGTCCTCAACTTACAACAGTTCATTTATTGACCGTTCAGCACTGAAAAAAAGTGACTTATGACTATTTTTCACAATTAAGACCGTAGCAGCATCCTCATGGTCACGTGATTTATATTTGGATGCTTGACAACTGACTCACATTTACGACGGTCGCAGTGTCCCGGGGGTGAGGGGATCCCCTTTTGTGACCTGACAAGCAAAGTCAATGAGGGAAGCCAGATTCACTTAACAGCCATGTTTCTAATTTAAGAACTGCAGTGATTCATTTAACAAATGCGGCGAGAAAAGTCATAAAATGGAGCCAAACAAATTTCTCACTTAGCAACATACTAATTTTGGGCTCAATTGTGGTCGTAAGTTGAGGACTATTTTATATCTGTCCAGCCTGCCTCCCCTGCATTTCTCAGCAATTCCTCAACGTTTCTGCAAAATAAGATTTCTGCCTCTAGACCAGGTGTAGGCAACCTTGGCTCTTTTATGACTCGTGGACTTCAACTCCCAGAATTCCTGAGGCAGCCACGCTGAGGGAAAAGGGAGAAGTTTCCAAGCTGAGCCATGCTGGCTCAAGAATTCTGGGAGTTGAAGTCCACCCATCTCTGAGTGGCCAAGGTTGAAAAATACACGCCTAGGCCAGGGGTAGGCAACCTTGGCTCTTTTATGACTTGTGGACTTCAGCTCCCAGAATTCCTCAGCCAGCCATGCTGAGGGAAAAGGGAGAGGTTTCCAAGCTGAGCTATGCTGGCTCAGGAATTCTGGGAGTTGAAGTCCACGAGTCATAAAAGAGCCAAGGTTGCCTACCCCTGCTCTAGACAGATTCCAGGTGGCAAATCTGTTTCCACAGATATATAGATGGATATTGGTTAGCTCTCCAAGAAGCTAAACAGATAGTCCTCAACTTGCAAGTATTCATTTAGCGACTATGTGAAGTTGCAATAGCACTGAAAAAAAATGGCTTAGGACTAATTCTTGCCTTGATAACTGTCTCAACATCCTTGAGCTCAGGTGATCATGATTCAGGTGTTTGGTACCTGTCATTATTTACAACAGTTGCAGTGAGGTTGTAAAATCAGGTACAATCCTATGATGCCTCAATTTGTGACCACACTGCTTAGTGACAGGTTTTTTTGGACCCCCGTTGTAGTCATAAGTCAGGACTGCCTGTACCTGCTAATGGGTTGGTGCATCACATCAAGACATGGTTTGTTTGCCTGTTGCTTAATGAAGAAAAAAGGGTTTGGTCTAGCCTGGTATACCTGGCGATTATCAGCCAATCCCAAGCAGGAAATCATGCACTTCCTTTCTTTCAGGGTGCTCATGTGACAATAAATGCTCGGGCTGATGAAGATGTGGAACCAGAGACCATTATGGAGAAGGTGGCCAAAGCTTCAGGGGCAAACTATAACTTCCATAAAGAAGGGAGCAAGTTTCAGGATGCAGGACCACAAGCTCCTGTGGTAAGATCTTCTTAGCTTGAGCTGGCCAAGATGATACCAGTTGTTGCCTTCTCTGGAATTCATTAGATTTGTTCCCCATCCGATTTCGGTTTACATAGATTAGCGCTGTATAGCCTGGTCTTGAGAGGTCATCCAAAGCTTTTGTGGACCACCTCATAAATGGGAGAATAGCATTGCAGAGTCTCCTGACTCCATGGCACATGTGACCCAGATGATCACATACCATAACAAAGATTAAATCCATAGCAACTTTAATGTTATAACCTGGTTGAGCTCTTAAGTGATTTACCCAGTCTGAAATCTTAGGAGATTTGGGGAAATGACAGCGAACCTTGCAAGATTTTGAGCTGGAAGAGACTTAATTTTGCAGTTTCAAGATTCCAAAAATATACCTTGTTTTCTCTGGATGCCTGCATCAGGGACCGTCTAAAGTAATTTTGTGGATACAGGTGGTATCAGTGCTTTTAGATTATTTTAACCAATAAATGGGACTCTGAAAAGCTGAAGTGCACCAGCCTCTAACATTATCTTTCTTTCAGGGTGCTCCTGAGTTGCTCAAAGTCCCCATTGGCATTCTGGGAAAATTAAAATTATGGAGAAAAAGAGGAAGATTGTAGGCTTGATTATTGTTTCCGATACTTTAAAAATTGCTATGCCTGACATGGTAGACATTTTGGGAATAATCACCAACCCAGCCTCCAGTGGCAGTTGTTTTCCGAGTGCACACACTCAGGTTGAACTTACCAACCCCAGAGGTTCCTGCCACTGCATCATAGGTAGTAAAAATAATAGGCTTGCCAAACTTCCATTGAAATTGAAGTTCAGGTTCTTAGTCCACAAGAAGGAAGTAAAATTGTGGAAGTAAGTTTTTTGAAATGGCTTAATGTTCTCCATGCCTTTAATGGGGTGAGAAGAAGAAATACCTTGCTAACATTTACCTAATTCAATGTCTGAGGGTTCCAAAAAGTGAAGTCTATTAACAGCTTGCTGGCACCTTGATTAATAATTAAGCACAGTTAGGACATGAATGAATTTAGTTCTGTACATTTAATTAATGACGTAATTAATTATAAGTTTTGTATTAACTAAATATATTGATTATTTTAATCTGTAGATCCTGTTCTTCTTTTTGTCCTGTTTTCTTTTATGGAGCTTTGTATTTTATTTCCTTAAATGTTTTTAACAAGTAAATTATTAATAACTAAGTGCAGTTAAGCCCAGGAATTTCTGTGGTTCTTTTTTGCAATAGGGCTCCGTTTACCAGAAAACAAATGCTATGTCTGAGATTAAAAGGGTCAGCAAAGATAACTTTTGGGCCAAAGCAGAGGTATGTATTTCACTCAACCCATTTCATGTTGCTGCTGAAATATCAATTGGGGATTTGAGTTAGCTGGTGGCTTATTTACAGCCTCCTTAGATTTATAGGGCTATGTTTTAGGTCAGGGCTTTTCAACCTTTTGACCCATTGTACCACTTTTAGGATATGGCAATATCCGAGTACCACCAGTCGCTTAGCAAGGTGTCAAAAACTTGATGACCAAAAAGAAAAAAGTGATAAAGTACAAATAGGGGCTCAGCAGAAGCACCAGGATCAGACGTTTCAAACAGCTGGAGCTCGGCACTGATCCTGGTGCTTCTGCTGAGCCCTGAAGAAGCACCAATCAGCTAGAAAGCAACACTGATCTTGGTGCTTCTGCTGAGCCCAGAAAAAGCGCCAATCAGCTGGAATGTTGTAGCATCTCCAGGGTCTTGTGATTTATATTCAGATGCTTGGCAACTGATTCATATTTATGATGGTCATAGTGTCCCAGGGTCATGTGAAGTGACCAAAACCTGCTACCACCACCCAGCAGACGGGGGGGAATAAAAACCAAATACCCCCCACCCCACCCCTGCTGCCAATCCTCAACAGAAATGCTCACAACAATGGAAACCTCAGACAGGAGGAAGAGCGCCACCGGGTGGGCAGGCAGGTGTCTTGCTCGGCTATGGCTTGGGGGGCACTTTTTTCAGTGCCATTGTAACTTGAAACAGTCACTAAGTGAACTGTTGTAAGTCGAGGACTACCTGTACTTTATCACTTTTTTCTTTTTGGTCATCAAGTTTTTGACACCTTGCTAGGCAACTGGTGGTACTCGGATATTGCCATATCCTAAAAGTGGTACAATGGGTCAAAAGGTTGAAAAGCCCTGGTCCAGGGGACTTGCAGGAGTCTTCTCCAGCATCATAGTTCAAAGGCCTCAATTCTTTGGCGCTCAGCCTTTCTTATGGTCCAACTTTCACATCCATACATTGCCACTGGGAAAAACATGGCCTTGACTAAACGCACTTTTGTTGGCAGGGTGATGTCTCTTCTTTTTAGTATGCTGTCTAGATTTGCCATAGCTTTCCTCCCCAGGAGCAAGCGTCTTTTCATTTCTTGGCTGCAGTCCCCATCTGCGGTGATCTTGGAGCCCAGGAAGATAAAATCTGTCACTACCTCCATTTCTTCCCCACTAGTTCTCCATAAGTTCCCGCTTTGAAGTATGGTTTGTTCTTTCAGAAAGACGAGGAAAATCGCCGGCTGGAAGAAAAGAGGAGAGCGGAGGAAGAGCGTCAACGTTTGGAAAAGGAGAGTCGGGATCGGGAACTGAAGGAAGCAACTTTACGGGAGCGAAGATACAAGGAGCGAGCCCAGGAGATTGATGCTCAGAGGCAAGTAGGACTGGTCTTCCCAACAGTCTTCAATTTTAATTTAAGATTCAATTTAAATTTCACATTTATCTCAGAGAAGCAAAGTGGCCTTTGGACCCGGGTATACCCTCCTACAAAAGGAATAATTTACCCTGGGCCAAGTTAGAAGTTACTTTCTTTTCTTTTTTATAAATATTTTATTGGGTTTTATAAGGATAGGAAAGGGATGGGATCAGTAGGGGTATAGGAAAGAGTAAACGTAAGGGAATTAGGGATGGGTACAGTGATGGGGTTACCCCCAGCAAAACATCCACGCTTAACGTCCGGGTACCAAAATCAAATAAACATCATTTATATAATACTAAACAATTATGATAAAGTGGGTTAGCAATAATCATAAAAATAAGAGATAGTACATAAATATTATTCATCTTAATGACCATAATTAATAAAATATTAATTAGTTATAATCACTAATGCTTAAAATCGCATTCATCCAAATTAATTTCAAAATCTTTTGTCATTCTACCGTATTGCTAGCCATTGATAAAAAATTTTCCCATGTCTTTTTTCTTTTTAGATCAGGGGTCCCCAACCCCTGATCTGTGAACCAGTACCGGCCCATGGCATGCCAGCAACCGATCCGCACAAACAAGCAAAGCCCCATCCGTGGAATGCAGGCAGCACACAAAACCATGCTCCCTCCGGTCCGTGGAAAAACCTCTCCCCACGGAACTGGTCCCTGGTGCCCAAAAGATTGGGGACCTCTGGTTTAGATAATGGTACTATTCAATAGTTAAATTACAGGTAGTCCTCAAATTAACAACAGTTCATTTATTGACCTTTTGAAGTTACATAGTGGCACTGAAAAAAGGAATTTATGAGTGCTTTTCACACCACTGTTGCAGCATCCGCATGATCACCTCATGACAAGCAAAGTCAACGGGGAACCAGATTCAGCAAGAAAAATGGGGCAAAATTCACTTAGCAACTCTCTCGCTTGGCAATAGAAATTTTTGGCTCAATTGTGGTCATAAGCCGAAAGACAACTTGTGCAACAAGGCTGAATTGGGAGGATCACTTGTGACGAAAACCGTCAGCCCTCTTTTCACATGTCTGTTTGCAGTCTCTTAATTGCATGTGTGTCTTGGTCTGCAAATAGCAATCACATAATCCAGGCAGTTTAATTTTTTTTTAAAAGGTTGATTTAGACAACATTATGAAACAATAGAATGAATTCCAGTCCTGTGTTGGGGCCTACTTGTGGCCATTGATTGTCAGCCACTGAATCGTGCGGTTGTTAAATTAAATCCAGCTGAGTGTGGAATTGGTTCACTTTAGTTAAACTCAGACTTTTGCTTAGTTGAAGACACTTGAGAATAAAACAAGATAGTACAGTTGAGTGATGTTAACTCTTCTTTTCAGAGTTAACTTGCTTTTTTTTTTTAAAAAAAAAAGGAAGATTTTGAGTTTATTGTACATTGGGCTATATTTATAAATTCTAGGATGCTATATTACAGATAAAGAGAGCCACTTTGGTGTAGTGGTTAAGGCATTGGGTTAGAAACCAACAGATCACAGACCCTAGTCTGCCTTCAGCACAAAGCAATCTGAGTGACCTTGGGCCAGTCGCTCTTTCTTAGCCCTGAGAAGCGGGCAATGGCAAGCCAGTTCAGAGAAACCTTACCAAGAAAACTGCACATCTTCTCCAGACATTTTTGCCAGAAATCAAAAACTTGAAGCCTTCCCTTTCTTTAAAAGAGATATATAGGTAGTCCCCGACTTACAACCACAATTGAGCACAAAATTCCTGCTGTTAAGTGACACATTCGTTAATTGAGTTTTGCCCCATTTTATGACCTTTCTTGCCAGAGTTGTTATGTGAATCCCTGCAGCTGTTACATTAGTAACACAGTTGTTAAGTGAACCTGATTTGCCCATTGACTTTGCTTGTCGGAAGATTGGAAAAGGGGATCATGTGACCTCAGGACACAGCAATGCTGGTCATATGTATGAGCCAGATGCCAGGCATCTGAATTTCGGTCACATGACCACGGGAATGCCGCAATGGTTGCAAGGGTGAAAAATGGCCTTAGGTCACTTTTTTCAGCGCCGTTGTACCTTTGAATGGTCACTAAATGAACTGTAGTAAGTTGGGGACTTGCCTGTGTTTTCTGAATGAGAAGAAGAACATTTTGAAATGTGAGCGTTTATAATGAAAATGAAAGTGTAGAGTTGCAGCATATTTCACGGTAAATCAGCCAAAATTGTCCTTGAGGGCTCTGCAGTTCTGGAGGGTACATCTCCTGGAATAGAATTCTATAAACAGAAATAGAAAAAAAAACTGTTTGCTTCCAGCGAAGCTCTTGCAGTATTAAAGTTCTGATATCACAGATTTAGTTCTGTTCCTCTCTTTTTGGGGATGGGTACAAACTTGCATGTATTTTTTTGTTGTGAATAGAGCACCAAATTAAATTAGAATTACGTTGAAGGACACAGCTAAGTTTAGAAATTTAAGATCTGAATGGCACAATTTTTCTTAACCACAGCTCTTGATTTTTTTTTTTTTTAAATCTGCAGGAAATTCCAGCTACAACAGGAAGCCAACTCAAAAGAACAAGAAAAACAACAATGGGTGAGGTTGGAAATGATCACATTTTTTTTCTCTGTTTTTAAAAAGAGATGTCTGAAGACAGAATTGCTTTCTTGCTTATGAAGATGATAAAAGATAGCAAAGAATTCCTAGGCAAGTCCTGAGATCTTTTAGTGCCATCATAAAGATATAAATGCTGTTTCTGCTGATTAAATTTGCACCAAATTTAAAATGTGGTAGGTAGAAGTGGAATTCTGGCCATCCTCTGCTTATTTTTCTTGATCGGTTGAGTGACATGAGTCTGGTCCATAGGAAGAGCTGTTTCTTATCATTCTTTGACCAAGCCAAGATTTCAATAGATGAGAATATTTGTAGCTGAGAATTGAACTGTGGAGTCCTTGGTGCTCTTTGAGCTTGCAGACATTTCATTACCAAACTAGGTAACATCATCAGTGCAAGCCAAGAGTCTTATTTCCCTCATCTTGGTGCCTTCATCGCTGGTTGACCTCGCCATAAGTGTAAGGGGTCATCTTTTGTTACAGAAGGAGCAAGAAGAAATTCGCAGCAAGAAAGGTTTCCCACGGAGGAGTGATTCTGTGGAGAAAGCTCAGGTACACGGGAGAAGATCCCTTGCCAACCTCTCCTCATTCTTCACGGTGCCTTAGCATGCGGTGTTATCTGTATCACTTCTATCTTCTTCAGATCATCTCTTGGTGCCTATTCGATCAAAGCAGGGCTAACTGGTGATTTGCTGGATAACAACTACAATTCAACAATCTCACTGCATCTTCTGTGCATGCAATGCACTGCATGCATCACTGTGAGCATTGCATGTTTAATACGGACACTCTTGTAGCTGGCAGGCATGAACATTGCAGCCAGAATTTAATCCAGAAGGATCTACATGTATTTGCTTCACCTCTTCCTGCCTTGGGAAGGCTGAATACTTATATAGATACATAAACCCTTCAATTCTTGTTTCTCTTTTGTTCTTGGGACATCTGAAGGCTATCTCTGTTCTTGGGACATCTGAAAGCTATCTCTATCTATACAGTTTTCCAGTAACTAAGAAAGTAGCAGACTGATTTTTCTGTTGATAAGGATAACTCAAAATATTGATAGCGATTGATAATTCATTTTTCTTCCATTGTCTGCTCAATCTTGCATTTTTTTTTGTAAGAACTTGTCATTGGTTCTGTTGTAATAGTTTGGATCGTCGTCACAAAAAGGATATCATCCACGTCTCCTAAGGCTATACTCTTCCCTTGTCGTCTCTTTCATTAAGTTTTTGCCTGATTCTGAAAATAATTCAAGATAATTATTTGCCGTGCGTTTTTCTGACAACGAAGCCTTGCTCCACTCCTGTGTCCAAGATGTGATTAAAAATCATGTTTGCAGCTGAATTACTGTGTTTCTAACTTCTGCCATTGTAAATAGCCCCACAAAAATTAGCAGTCCTCCGTCTAATTTTTATTACTTGCCTTTTTGTTGAAAAATGACCTAGAAATGGACTTCTGATCCCTTTGACAGCAGTTTTGGTTTCTGTGTGCAGGTTGGGAAAGGAACAAATTCGCTTCCTCTACTCTCTGTAGAAAAATTCAGGAAGTAAGATTACTTCATCCTTTTTGGTATGGTATGTGGTTAGCAGAAAAATGTAAGAGTTTGTATAATAAAAAACAAATTTCTGATTTAGACATAACAGAATAGTTTGTAACTGAACAGTTGGACAGATAGTCCTTACTTAACTGCTCAAAGTTACAACTGCACTGAAAAACAGAAGACTTGATGCCTCATTTAATGATTGTGCTGCTTAACAATTTTCTGATCTCTAGTGTAGTCCTGTGATGAGTCCATGTATACACCTTTTTACTAAAACTTTGCCAACTAGCTGCCTTCCAGATTTTGAGAGACTGTAATTACCAGGATTCCTGGCTATATGTGACAAATGCTAGGGGTTCTGGGAAATGTATCTTTATTTCAGCTGCTTTTAATCCATTTCAATTGCATGGTTGCCAGCCAACCAATAAGTCTACAGGTGACAGGTTGAAGAAGGTTCTGCTAGCATATGGCTCTCAAGCTGAATTTCCCTGAAGGATTCTTGTCTACCCTATTATTTATTCACAATGTCAAAAAGTGGATCTTTTTTTGGTTCCAATTGATGTCGTTGCTTCCTTGGCTATTCCCTTTATTTTCTTGTGGAATTCTGATTTAGACTCGTCCAGTTGCATGTGGGATTCTTGGTAACTTGACTCTTGCTCTCCTTCCTGTTCCACTGTGGGTTTCCCTTAAGGGCATGGATTGGACAATTGACTGGAGGATTTAATTTGAGCAGATTGGTTGCTTTTCTTCTTGACTTTGCCCTGCTTGAGAATACCTTCTCACTAACTCCATTCTGCATCTCTTGGGTCTTCCTCCTTCCGACTAGCTATTTGTAATTCCTTGATCCTTCTGAATCTTTTCCATGGTGGAAGATTAATGCTGTCCACAGGGACCTTCCTTCATCCTTTAACTCTGTATCAGATGTAGTAAAGGCCATATTCAAAAGGATATCTTACACAAGGACTTCATATGGTATCTTCAGGCAAGCTTTGCTATCCCATTTATTTATTTTTATAATGAACAGACACTTTGACCCAAAGCCTTCATGTCTTTAGCAGTATCTAGAAAGGAACGTATCCATGTGTAAGCTTCACCTTGGCCAGTGGGTGCTTGCTTTATCTCTGTGGAGATGTCTCAGTCATCCAGGCTGTCCCACGTTCAGTTCAGAACTGAAGGAGCTTCTTGGATGGGAAGCGAAACATCTTCAAAGGAAAAAAAAAAATCCAGTTGCCTCTTGAAAAAACACCTTTGGGGTGCTTGCTTTATCTTTGGAGTAACTGAGAACCAAGGCTTTGAACTTTAGTGAAAGAATGTGGATGGTTATTACTTTTCTGTAATACTTCACCTCTATCCCCAATCAATTCATTGCAAGATGAAAGCTGTAATCCTCCTTAGGTAGAGAAGCAACTGATGGATTTTAGACCAGTCTATCTCTATCTCTGTCCTAAACTGGGAAGTTGAAAGCTTCTTCGTTGAATGTTGTTGTTGTTAGTTGCGAAGTTGTGTCCAACCCATCGCGACCCCATGGACAACGTTCCTCCAGGTTTTCCTGTCCTCTACCATCTTCTGGAGTCCATTTAAGCTCACGCCTTCTGCTTCAGTGATTCCATCCAGCCGCCTCATTCTATGTCGTCCCCTTCTTCTCTTGCCCTCCATCTTTCCCAGCATCAGGCCCTTCTCCAGTGAGTCCTTCCTTCTCATTAGGTGGCCAAAGTATTTGAGTTTCAACTTCAGGATCTGGCCTTCTAAAGAGCAGTCAGGGTTGATCTCCTCTAAGACTGACCGCTTTGATCGCCTTGCAGTCCAGGGGACTTGCAGGAGTCTTCTCCAGCACCATAGTTCAAAGGCACTGTAATGTATCAAACTAGTGCAGGGGTAGGCAACCTTGGCTCTTTTATGACTCGTGCTGGCTCAGGAATTCTGGGAGTTGAAGTCCACAAGTCATGAAAGAGCCAAGGTTGCCTACCTCTGAACTAGTCCAATATGTTTGGGCTGGTAGGGAGATATTTTTCAACTTCCCAGTTTAGAACAGAGATAGAGATAAACTGGTCTAAAGTCCATCCGTTTCTTCTGTACCTAAGGAGGACTACAGTTTGGGTTTCCCCATTCCTAATCTAGCCTTGTAACAGCTATGCACACTGGTGCATATACATACAAAAGTAAAAGAGTCCCTGTGGATTCGTTGCGGACTATAGGGGGTGGTGTTCATCTCCCATTCCAAGGCCATTGAACCAGCACTATACGAAAATATTTCTGCAGTCATGCTGCCAGCATGACATTATTGAGCACTGTCACCTTCCTACCCAAGCGAACCTATTTATCTACTCGCATTTACATTCGTTTGAACAGCTCGGTTGGCAGGAGCTGGGGTGAGGACGGGAGCTCAGCCCGTTGCATGGCGCTCAGGTGTTGAAGCTGGGCTGCCCAGCGTCTTAACACTGTGCCACCCCCGGTGTGTATACCTACAATGAATAAAACCTTTTCGATGGACGCCTTCATCCTGAGCTTTTCCTGCTGAATGATTGATTGATTATCCCAAATCCTCTCTTAACCCTCATTCAGCTGTGGCTGTGCTAGCTGCAGGCTGTGTGATTTGTCGCTGTGTCGCCCAACACATCTGGCAATGTGGGATTGAGGAAAGAATTTTGACGGTTATTAGTAAGTTGTTTTTTGGGTTTTTTTTTTACATTTAGTAAGATACGTAGGCAGCCAAAGGTACTTTTCCCCTTTGCCTGCTAAGGCTGGGCAGCAGTGGTGTTTGCTGTTGCTAGAGTTCCATCTTCCTTTCCATGCTTTTGAGTTTTGTATTTCATCAGGATTCAGTTACCCTTTTCGTTTTTTGTTGTTGTCGTTTTTGGTTGTTTTAGGAAGCAGCATCACTAGTAGCTCAACGATCAGTGAATCCTCGTGAGATCTTTAAACAGAAGGAGAGGTCCATGTCTACAGAAGCAGCAGCCACCATCAGCTCCCAGCCAGGTATTCTTCTACACTCTTCTGCACTAAGGAAGGCACATGGCAAGGGGAATCACTTACTTTCCCCAGGGACAGGAATGTCAGCAACAGACCTCGGCAACGGAGAACGTTTTTTTTTTTTCTTCTCTGCTAAGCGCATGGTGGAAATTTGAAACCTGGTGCCATAATTTGGGTCTTGGAATTTGGTTCACAGGATCTAATGCTATCCATTAGCACGTATGCATTGGATGCATGGTTTAATTTGACTGCAGTCCTTGACTTTCGACCACAGCTGAGCCCAAAATTTCTGTTGCTAAGCGAGTCAGTTGTTAAGTGAGTTTTGCCCCATTTTACGACCTTTCTCGCCACCGTTGTGGAGTGAATCACTGCAGTTGTTAAGTTAGTAACACAGTTAAGTGAACCTGTTGACTTTGCTTGTCAGAAGGGAATCCTGGGACACTGCAACCGTCATAAATGGGAGTCGGTTGTCAAGCATCCAAATAGAAATCACGTGACCCTGGGGACACTGCCACCATCGTAAATGTGAGCCAGTTGTCTAGCCTCTGAATTTTGATCACGTGACCCTGTGGGCCATAAGTTTGAAAAAGGTTCATAAGTCACTTTTTTCACTGTAACTTCAAACTGTCACTAAACTAATGATTGTAAGTTGTGGACTACCTGTAGTGCTGTGTCACAAACACTGCTACATTTCGGAATGAGAATGGATAGAAGAATCAAGCAACAAGGCAGTAACTGAGCAGCTTAGCCAAGGTCTCCCTGTTGTATAAGAGAGATGGGTCTAATCCACGGGTAGGCAACCTTGGCTCTTTCATGACTCGTGGACTTCAACTCCCAGAATTCCTGAGCCAGCCACGCTGAGGGGAAAGGGAGAGGTTTCCAAGCTGAGCTATGCTGGCTCAGGAATTCTGGGAGTTGAAGTCCACGAATCATAAAAGAGCCAAGGTTGTCTACCCCTGGTCTAACCAATTTGTGTTCTGGACTGACTTGGCTCCTTTCCTAGGCAAGTTACGGAGCCCTTTCCTCCAGGAGAGAAGTCAGGCGGAGAATCCTGTCTCCCCTGTCCAACCAGCTGCACAGGATGTTCCTTCTCCTCCTCCTCCTGTTGTTCGTTCGTCTGGTCACGACACACCTCCAGTTTTTCCTGTTCCCGAACTTGGTAAAAAGCATTATATGAGAGCGTGTGATTTCTGTTCCTTGATTACGTTACATTTTTTAAACAGCAAGAGGTGTCTTTCTTTCTTTTTTTTTTTTTTAATAGCCGGTGGTAGTTCTGACTTTTCTTCCCTGTGTCCCAGTTGGTAGACACGCCTAAAGTTTATTTGATTTATTTACTTGTTTTAGGACAGTGTTTCTCAACCTTGACAATTTTAAGGCATGTGGACTTCAATTCCCAGAATTCCACAGCCAGCAATTGCTGGCTGTGGAATTCTGGGAATTGAAGTCCACATGCCTTAAAATTGTCAAGGTTGAGAAACACTGTTTTAGAAACATAGAAGGCCTCCCAACTTTACTTTGAGTGGCGTAGAGTAAAACTCCGTGGCGCGATACAATTAACACAGTTAAAATCATACAACTCAAAGAAACAACCCCACTGAAATACCAGGCAGAAAGCAGCCATTAGAAGACCATCAGTTATGGCCAACCCACCATAACCCAAGGCCTGGAAAACAAGCCATGTTTTCAGAGCTCTTTTGAACACAGTCAAAGACTGTAGACATATCTGGGGGGGGAGGTGTTCCAGAGCAGGGGCTATGACAGGACAGAACATTATCCTGAAAATACCCTTGATTAATCCATGATTTCCCCAGAGGGTTTAAAATTTTGCCTTTCTGTGACCAGGTTCGTGCTCGGAAAGTTTTATCCCCTCCTCCGAAAGCCTGCAAGAAAAACAGGTTATAGAAAAATAGAAGACTTTTATGTTAACTTTATTTCTGGCATGGCTATAGACCTTGTTCATCTTTTCCTTTCTCTGAGAATAGTACAGCTTTCTCCCAACATGAGAAAGTTGAATTTGACTACGAAAGATGCTCCAGTCCAACTTTTTCCAAGCTGCTTACCTTCATTACTATTATTTTACTGAAGAAGAAGAAGAAGAATTTTTGTTTGGGTCCATTTGTACTCTTTATACCTCTGGCGCACACATATCGTGCATTTCTTTTAATGCAAGGATGCACCCAGGCCACGGGTACATTCTCACAACCAATCTCTCCCCAGTCCTGCTCTCAAAAGGTCTTTACCAAGCCTTTGTTTACCCAAATCTGTGTCTCATTCTCCATTAGCTAGATTTGCTAACATTGGAACAGACATGGGCTGTTCCTTTCACCCTTGTGTCGAAAGGAACCTAGTTTGTGCTTCCCTATTTTGTTGAAGTGAGAAGATGCGAGACGTGTAGCTTCACCCATCCATCTCGCTGGTTTTTCTTTTCTTCAAAAGCTTGAAAAGTCTGTTGTTGCCCCAATAAGATCTCTCTCTGTTCAGTTTCTCCGAATATTGTGTAATTGCGTGTATGTGTCTGTCCTGTTTCCTCCATGTGGCCATTGGTGCAGCCTTTCTTGCTGCATCGGAAAAGTTGCGGGAAAGGGAAAACAAATGAGACACAATGAGTTTGTATGGTGTGTGAGAAGGTTAATGTGTGGGTGTAGTGGTTAAGATGCTGTCTTAGAAAACAGGAAACGTGCTAGTTCTGCCTTAGGCATGAAAACTGGCTAAGGTGGTGACTTTGGGCCAATCACCAGGAGACTGAGTTCTAATCCTGCCTTAGGCATGACAGCCAGCTGGGTGACTTTGGACCAATCACTAGGAGTCGGTGAGTTCTAGTCATGAACACCAGCTCGGGCCTGTGACTCTCTTTTAGTCCAATTCACCTTACAGGGTTGTTGTGAGGAAAATAAGAAGAGGAAGGTGTGTTGCATAAATTTGCCTCCTTGAGTTACTTGTAAAAGGATAAAGGCGGAAGAAAAATCAAAGTGAGACGTGCTAAGCTGTTTGCTGTACTGAAAAGAGAGCAAGAGAGATACAGAGCAGAGGCATCCTGGAAAAAAAAAAGTTATTAACTCAGGGAAGAAATAACCCTGGAACATGAGTCTTACCTTCTCAACATTGAGAATTGAAACTGAGAATGCTTCTTTCAGGTAATTCTGTCAGGGAGGAGAACCACAAGGCAGGGGCTGCAATCCATGAACCAGAGGTAGAACAGGAGGCGGTGTATGAGGAACCCCCAAACCAGCGTGTGATCTACGATGAGCCCCCTGAGGTTAGTCTCTGCTGGCAAAGTGCAGATCAATACAAATTGGATTATTCTTGGCTGCATTAGCAAGATAACGTTGTTATGTCCTTTGCTCTCTTTTTTTTATCAAAATATCTGTAAGAAAAAGTACTTGCTATTTGCAATTTCCCTAATTTCTCTGCCATGTTTTTTTTTATTTAAATGTAATCAGGGAAACCTATGTTAAGAAGGACAATGTAAGCATTGTGTGTGTATATATGTGTGTGTATGTATGTATATGTACATATATATATATATATATATATATATACTTACAATATTATATAAATATATATATATATATCTATATATATATATATATATATATATATATATTTGTTTTCTGAGGTTTTCGCGGGTATTTGTATGTAGGTCTTTGGTTGTTCGGGTTTTCTCCCGCGTAAAATTGGAAGTGTCTTGGCAACGTTTCGACGAAGTCACATTCGTCATCTTCAGGCTGGTGTTTTTAGGATGACGAATGTGACTTCGTCGAAACGTTGCCAAGACACTTCCAATTTTACGCGGGAGAAAACCCGAACAACCAAAGACCTATATATATATATATATATACACACACACACACACACACATACATACATATATATATATATATATATATATATACACACACACACACACATATATACATATATACACACACACATACACTAGGTAAAAGGTAAAAATCTCCTCCCCCTGTCTCTCTCCTGATACAGCTGACAAAGTGAGGAGAGCCTGTGGCTTAGAGGTTATAACATCTGCCTAACATGCAGATAGCCCAGGTTCGAATCTCAGAAGAGTAAGTTTGGCTGAAGAGAGTTAAAGGAACTCGAAATAGCTATACCATTCTCTCTTTATTCTTTGTTAGCAACCTAAAAATGTAAAAATGATGTCGCAGTTGGCGACTGCTGCTTGTGGATGGCTCTAGATTGAGCTGATACAGGCAAAAGAAAAGAAAAGAAAGAAGATTTCTTTCTCCCATATTTGGGCTGACAGGGTGTTCATTCAAGTACGCGGGAGAAAACCCGAACAACCAAAGACCTACATATATATATATATAAAATTGCTCCCATTTTACATTCATAACTTTCTTGTACCATGTGTTGTTTTTCTATGACTGTGATGGCGAACCATTTAGAGACCAAATGCCCAAAAACTGCCCCCGCTCTGCCTCCCGTCCTGCCTGCTCTGCCCCACCCACCCGCAGGGCCACGTACCACTTCCATAGCTCGCCACAGCAGATCGCCCAGGCAGCCTTGCAGCGCCATGGTGGCCACGCCCTCCGCCCACACCCTGCAGCATCATCTGCACGCTATGGGGCGCGAGGACGGAATCTTGTCACTGCTGCCTGGCTATGTCTTTGGTTGTGCTCCTCCGTGCAGGCCGTGCCTGGGGGCGACTCTCCTCCAGGGGGGCTGCTGGTGAAGAGGGGGAGGTGGGACTCACGAGAATGGGCTCACGAGTGCCGTCTCTGGCACGCGTGCCACAGGTTCGCCACCATTGCCCTATGACATTCATTGGGAAAGTAATGAAACGTATGTGCTTACGTTCTGGTCAAAACCTCCCCCCTGGATTTTTGCCTGGAAAAAGATGCAGATCAACTCCTGTGACCTGATGACATCTGTCTTGGCAGATCTTACCCCTCTCCCCCCCAAAAAAAATCCTTCAAAAATCCATGACAAACTTCTTTTACATCATTCCTTTCAGAAAAGAATCCATGCTTCTGTAAATGATGTTTCTGTAAATTATTCCCTATTTCTAGAAACTGGGTTTGTACGCTTACATCAGAACGCACATTGAAATTGGCTGGTACAACCTTCTTTGACTCCAGACAGCTTCCAGATGTGTGGCCTTCAATTCTCAGAACTCCCAGCCTTGGTTATGCTACTTGGGAAGGCTGGGAGCTGAGGTCCACACAGCTGGAGCAGGCCGAGGTTGGGGAAAGACATTTTAGTGCAGTGTTTCTCAACCTTGACAATTTTAAGGCATGCCTTAAAATTGTCAAAGTTGAGAAACACTGTTTTAGTGAATGAATTGTAGTCAAAAGATTGATGGCCTCTGATTCAGTATATCATTCCTTGTCTCACTAACTCTTCTTTGTTTTGGGAACAGCCTGAAGATGCAAACTATGATTATAGTGATGCCTACCAAGAAAACCTTAACATGGAAGGAAAGGGAATATGTGCCCGTGCTCTGTATGATTACCAGGCTGGTATGTTTGACGTGTTTTACTTTCATTAGTCCCTCATATTTACTTCCTAGGAACGGCTGGGTTTTTTTTTTTTCCTTACGTTTAAAAAAGCAGGATCAGAGATTTGGAAGCCAGCCACATTTTAGAGCTTAAAATGCAGTTTGCACACTATACTTACTGAAGTAAAGATATATTTTCTTATCACCCTTAGCAGAAGCAATAAAAGTTTAAAGCTCTGCCTGTACAAAGTTAGAAGGTGCTCTGGGTTGCTCGGATATGTGAAATATATGGATATAATCTGTTTTTTTAGGCAGAAGCATTGAGAGCAATTCTCAAAGCCTGGCTAATTTTTGCTGCCGCATTGTAACTTTAACATGCCAGCAGAAAGAATGTGTTAAATGCAAGAGAGATAGTTTCATTCCCTCATATTTAATCCTACTTTATTTTTTTATCATGGCTCTGCAGGCTGCTTCTGTTGGTTGAATGTAGCCCCAACCCACCACTCAAAAGCCCGATGCAATCTTCAGCTCAGAAAAAAAAAAATTGCACAGCTCAGATTTAAAGGCTGAAATGATAATACAGGATATTGTGAGTCTCCAGAAAGGAGGAGTAATAATCCACAGCGGAAGAATAAGCAGCGTTAGAAAAAAAGAGCTTAAATAATTAAGTGCTCAAGTTTGGCATAAATCAGGGGGTCTTCAAACCTGGCCCTTTTATGACTTGTGGACTTCAACTCCCAGAATTCCTCAGCCAAGCACACTGGCTGATGAATTCTGGAAATTGAAGTCCACAAGTCATAAAAGGGCCAAGTTTGAAGACTCCTGGCATAAATCAACCCAGATTACTACAGTTGTTATTTAAATAAAATTGAAACAAATGCTCGGTTTAGAGCAGGATTTCTTGACCCTGGCAGCTTTATGGTGAGGTCAACTCTGCAACTTTGAATTGCATTGTGGGAGTTGAAGTCCACACAGCTTAAAGGGGCCAAGACTGAGAAACCACAATTTACAGGTCGTCCTCCATTTAGGACCATAGTCGGGACCAGAACTTCCATCATTCAAACGGTCATAAACCAAAGACCACCTGCTCAGCGTGATTCTGACCTTGTACCCTACTGGGCCTGTTACTTCCTTTAAAAAAATAATAATAATAACACTGAGGTTGTGTTTTGTTTCCCACCTTTTTAGCTGACGACACAGAGATCTCTTTCGACCCTGAGAACATGATTACAAACATTGAGATGATTGACGAGGGCTGGTGGCGAGGTTACGGGCCCGATGGTCACTTTGGGATGTTTCCGGCCAACTACGTGGAACTTATTGAATAAGGGATCCTCGCCCGGGGGGGCAGGGGACGAGTGCAAATAATGTCTGAAAGAGCAACTTTCCTCAAAACCACTTCTTGGAGATGAAGCTGTGTATGATTTTTTTTTTGAAGGGGGGCGTTCCTTCATACCCCCATCGCTGGCAAAACCCTCTGCATCTGCTTGGTGAAGCGGATCCTTTTTCTGCTTTGTTCATTTTTCCTTAACAGGCGTTTTCAGATAGAGATGGACCTCATTTTGGGCGACACACAATACTTCCGTTTGTTCAGAGAGAGAGAGAGAGAGAGAGGAAGTACCATGTAGCGGGAAGAGCCCTGCACAAAAACCACTCTCAGCAGACATACATGGACCATGGCATTCTTGAATATCAACCCGTGCTCTTTTGAAGAAAGGGAAGCGATGGTTCACATGTCTGCAGAGCTTTTCAGTCTGCCAATTGTAACTTTGCAAGACAGCACAAGAGAGCAGAAATCGTTAAGAGATGCCTACCTTAGTATTATCTTTGATTGAGGCTGCAGCCCCACAACCCACTTACTCCAAAGTGCTGCTTTGGGGGGAAATGGATTGTTTCGAGCTGCTTTTGGAGGACAGCCTGTTTGGAATTGCTCCAAGGGAAAAAGCTGATTTTTACCCCTGCTTTCTGCAAGCTGCTTTTGTGCAGCTTCATTCCATTTCAGTGAAGCAATTCTTTAGGGAAGAACTCTCCCCCACTTATGTGCCAGCTGATTGGGGATGGAAGCTCCTGGAGCACTTGTAGAAACTCTTAAACTTGCAATAAGACAAAAGGCTGTGTCAGTGGGTCTCATGGCAGTGGAGGTTTAGATTTCAACTCAATCCCCATAGCCGGGGGTAGGCAACCTTGGCTCTTTTATGACTCGTGGACTTCCAACTCCCAGCTATGCTGGCTCAGGAATTCTGGGAGTTGAAGTCCACGAGTCATAAAAGAGCCAAGGTTATCTATCCCTGCCCATAGGTAATGAGCCAGTTGGTCCAAATCAAGGCCTAGCACTGAGCTGGTAGTAGGTGCACACAGTTTTAAATATTACGCTTGTGTGTCCGTGTGGTGAGGTTTGCTCGATGGAACTGTGATTTGTTCAGTTACCCTTTCTGGAATGTAGGGGTGGGAGGACAGAAGTACATTAAATTTGGCGGAGGTAAAATTGGAATTCATTTCTTCCTCTGCCTATTTTGTGGGTGTTTTTTTAAAAATACAGAATATAAAAAAAACATTTGGCAGCTGAATATACAAGAATGGTACAAATTCTGAAACCGGATATTAAATATCAGGCCCACTCTTTCCCACCAACTTCTCTTTACAGTATAGAGGTATTAACCTCCAAAAGGCAGTGTTTATGTTTGTTTCGTTGGCTCAAGATAGTTTTAACGGGTTTCAGACTTTCAGCTCTACCCAGGCAGATGAAAGAATTTATGAGTTGGAAGAGACCATTCCATTTAAACCCATTCCATGGTCACTGTAGGAATCTAATAGGTAGCCATTTCACCCCTCTTTTAAAACCTGAAGTGAGAGCAAGGCCATACTTCCCATTGCTTAATCATCTTATTTATACGATACGTAGAATAATTGATTATTGCAATTGCTTTTCACAGCCTCATGTTCAAAATTCTCCTTTTTCCAGCCTTTTGCTATGCCTGAAGATTTATGGTGGGGGTAAAAAAGCTAGTAGATTGTGACAAAATAACAATGAAAAGGAATTAAAATGACATAATAAGCCTGTGAATTGATTTTTTTTTTTAAAGTTTTGGAAGATCGTTTACTTGCTATAACTATGAAATGAATGGTAGTCTCAATATTTGCAGGAAAATTTGAGAAAGGTAGCTCAAAGTGCCAGAAAAAAGAAATGAAACAAACGATAAGGTTAAAAAACAGTTTTTCTCCTGTATGGATCTTGTAAGCAAGCCGATGCTGGCCAGCTGTTACTTTCAGCATCTTCATGGCCACTGCAGGCAGAAATAAGATGCTGAAAATTCCAATTCATGCAAAACGTTAGGAAGCCTAAAATATTGGAATGTATTTAGCTTTCTAAATGGCAAACTTAGACAAATCTGAGAATTAAATGACTGTTTTGTAACATGTATCTTTTGACACATAATCTATAACAGGTTGCGACAGGTCACGTGACGCAGCAAGTTTGACACTCCTGGTCTATAATATCAAACTGACATTTTCCTTGTTTTCATCATGCATCTTGGGATGAAGCAGCATGCTAGCTCCGTGTCAGCAAAATTGTTTGCTGTAAAGTAGGTCACTTTGATTTGCTGATGACTCTTCAGAAAGATCCAGAATTAAAAGAGCTGACAAGACAATATTGTCATAAAAGGTAGCAAAGCATCATGATAAGATAGGTTTACCCTTAATGTTGCTTTTTTCCTGTGAACACACTGGCATACGTTAAAAAAAATGAAATTCTGATGCCCGCTGTCTAGAGAAAAATTGGATAAATAATTGGATAAATGTTGGTTGTTCGGGCACCCCAGTGCCTAGCACCTCCCTTGGTTTTGTCTGAACATAGGTTTGCCTTCCTTATTATTTTGATGATGGAAATTAATCTCAGTAAGATCTGAAAGATTACAAATTCTCCATTTCTTGATACAGCCTTGATGTTTGTAACCAGTATGATCATGGAATTGTTCTCCTAAGCATCAATACCCATTTGACTTGTAATCTCAATATAAATAATATTGATAACCAGAGAGACACCAGTACAGGTAGTCCTCGACATACAATCACAATTGAGCCCAAAATTTATGTTGCTAAGTGAGACAGATGTAAAGTGAATTTTGTCCCATGTTACAACTTTTCTTAAGTGAATCACTGCACTAGTTAAGTCAGTAACATGGTTGTTAAGTAAATCTGACTTCATTGTTTGTCGGAAGATGATCACATGACCCTGGGACACCACAACCGTTGTAAATGTGAGTCAATTGCCAAGTGCCTGAATTCTGATCCCGTGACTCTAGGGATGCTACAACGGTCGTAAATGTGAAAAACATTCAACAGGTCATTTTTTTCAATGTCGTAACTTTGAGCGGTCGCTAAATTAACTGTTGTGAGTCCAGGAATACTTGTACGCTTTCAATATGAGGGGAGGAAATCCTCTCAGGTGCCAATTACTCTTACAGGCAATCCTCGACTTAACAACAGATCATTTCGTGTCCGTTCAAAGTTACTACGCCACTGAAAAAAGTGTCTTAACGAACATCTTTCACACCTACGAACATTGCAGCAACCTCATGGTCCACGTGATCAAAATTTGGCCGCTTGGCAACTGACATGTTTATGACGGTTGCAGTGTTCCGGGGTCACATGATCCCTTTTGTAACCTGAACATGCAAAGTCAACGGGGAAGACAGCTTTACTTAACCGTGCTACTAATTTAACAACTGCAGTGATTCACTTAAAGCAACTGTGGCAAGAAAAGTCGTAAAAGTGGGGCAATTTAAGTTCTCACTTATCAACATAAGTTTTGGGCTCAATTGCGGTCATAAGTCCAGGACTACCTATATACTCTTCTTTAAACTCTGAAAACCTGAGCTTGTGCTGTCCCCGCACGATAAGTTACATCTGTGGCAGCTTCTGTTATAATAATAAACTTTTATAAACTTTTTTATTGTCATTGTATGTGTATACACAGTATACACATACAACGAAATTTACGTGACACCCAAAGACCAGGTCCCACACACATAATCCCCAAACACACTCCCACCCACCACAATTCCCCACCCCTAAAACCGCCCAAACATCTACCCAACAGACCACGTAATACTGTCCAACAGTTCACTGATGGTGGCCCTTTAGTTCATTATTAAGTGCAATTATAGTTTATAGGAAGAAATTGTCCTTACTGCCCCACTGTAAGATTTCTCAAGCCTTTCATGGATCTCTTGGTTGGAAATGATGGATGTGAAGGGTGGGTGGGAGTGGCAGATGTGTTGCCTAATTGAGTTAACTAGGTCAGGAAGGGGGGGCGGACAGGACAAGAGAGACAGATGGATAATCAAATCCAGGGCAGACCTCAATTTCATTTCTATTCTTTTGTTCCTCCCTTGAGACCTGCCGCCACCAGCAAAGAAACCATTGTTGTGGTGTTTTTTTAAAGCTTGGGAAATGCATCAAGATTTCTCTGTGCTTCAAAAGGATGTTTAAGGCTACTTGAAAGATGCAGAAAGAGGTGCTTCCTGACACATACACCCACTCAAAAAACAAACAAACAAAAAATCTCTGCTTGTTCCAGGTCTTAGAGCAGTTTTTTTTTTAAAACTGGTCCACACAGCCCTAAAGCCCCACAAGAATTGATGGGGTTTCGTGAGAAATTAAAGTTAACTCAAACGTCGTAGTTTTCCATCACTAGTTGTGCTTCTTGATCAGGGCAATCTGGGATTTCTTAAACAAACAGGCTCTTTGAAAAGTTTGTAGCCCAGAATATACAGTAGGTTGCCCAAAAGGGAGTAACCATTACAGGTGTCATATTTTGCCCTGTAGTATCTAAGTTGTATTTACACTTGTTTTACTTGGCTTTTGGGGAGGGAAGAATTGCAGAGGCTGTCACTCGGTTTAAAAACAACATAGTTGGTTTGTATGTCTTTCAGTCCATCCAACGGAATATAAGTAATACTTGATGAGAAAGGCAGATTTGGGGTGGTTGACCCCTGCTACGTCATCTATCTTCTAAGGATGTTCCCAACTCTGTTCTGTTCCCAACTTTTTATCTTTCCGCATATATTTCTAAACCAAGTCCTGAGTTGGAGCTATTCAACATTTTTATTGCCCAAGAATCCCTGTGAATCCAGGAGAGACCCCAAAAGCAGTCAGGGTTCATATGTTGGGCTAACGCTGAGCCATAAAACAGTTAATCTGAGTTGGCCTTAGCATGCTGCAGAATCTATCTGATTGTGGCTTATGGGTAGCCAGTACTTCAACTAATCATGGTGTGGAACAAACCATGTTTGGGTGAAACTGCAGCATTCCCAATGTTTATTTTTAAGAGCAGAGGCAGGCGGCTGGCCAAGAGCATCACATTGCTCACATGTTGAATTAAATTGTATAATTCATGTAGGACCATTTACCCATCTAGTTCAACGTAGAAGGGTAAAATCTATATTTAACTGGCAGAATTGTCCTAAGTCTTAGTTCCATATTTATTTATTGTTTCAATTTCTAGGAGACCCACATGCCAGGGGTTGTCAGTGGCAGATAGAGATTATTTACTTACTGTCCTTTTAACTGGAGATGTTGACCAAGCATAGCAATTTCCAATGGGGGAAAAAAATCTTGTCTTCATCCACTGAATTTCCATTCTATTTCCTCTTCTCACCCAATAATATAAAGCAGCACAGCCAGTCAGGTTCTGCCACAATCCTCTTAAAAGGATGAAATACCATAATCCTGCCGGATCAGGGCTTCTCAATTGCAGGGACTTGAAACATCTGGGGATAGATTAAAGAAATGCAGAGTCTGGGTTATTTTTATAACTGGGCAAAAGGAGGCACATTTCTTGGCATGCAGCCCTGCTAAGAAAAGCGTCAGCCTCTTTCTCCAGCTCTGCAAAAGGTTGGTTGCATTAATGGCTTTGCTCGCCCATTGAGGTGGTTTTGGTGGAAATCTAGACCTCTGTCTAAAGATACTGTTTACATCTCTAAACCTTGCACGTTGTAACCCATGTCAATATCCAAAGCACCTCCTGGGCCCTCAGTCTTTTTTTCCCCTCTATCCTTCCAACCTAGACACAAACGTTGTATTTTTAGGAGCTTTAATAAATAGAAACATTCTGGAGGAATTTACAAGGAGATTCCCTCAACCAGATCACCGTGTTGTTTTTTTGTAAAGACTGCTAAACATCACGTAGCCACATTGTGAGGACAGTTCCCCAAATCTCAACAGATCAGGTGTTCTTGTCTTGCTCCTTCAATCCCTGGACACTTCTCTGCATGCTGCTGTAAGACTACGCCTTCCTCTTGCCTGAATATCCACTCATAAATTCTGCTGATGTAATTGAAACAATGAAGAACACGGCTTGATTTGTCTACGGAGGTTCTCAGTCATCCAGCTCATGGATTATCTCAAAAGGTGCTTATTCAAGGAGCAGTTGGACTTTGTATCTCCTTGACGTTTCGCTTCTCATCCAGGAGGCTTCCTCCATTCTGAATGGCTTGATTTGCAATATCAAAAAGCCGAGTGATGCTAAATTGCACGCAGGGGACCTTTTTATAGACGCAACACCTTCAAATAAAGAAAATGCCTATCCTGAAATTGGTTTTCCTCCTGCTCCAAGGAACATTGCCTGCCTTGGATGAGCACCAGAAATCTCTTCCGTCAGCATCACGAGAGCCAACCATTGGGGAGCCTTTGCCAGAGGGATCAGATGTGGTTCATCCTCTCTGCCTCCCTCTGAGATCTGCTTCTGGGGGTTTGTTAATGGGGCACTGTTAGCCCTGACACCCGCTGCATCCACATGGCCATGGATGTGACTCATCTGCCACATGTGTTCTGGGCATGCTGCCACTCCTGTGTCCATTCAAGACACCCTTTGCTAATTTATTTTCAGCAATGTATGGCCCATAATAATGAGCTGTCCTGCTGTCAACTCCACTAGACCTTCCCTGTGATGGCTTCGCTCTGGATGCTCTCACTGGGCTACCAAGAGGCTGTGGAACGTTGAAGCCCACCACCGACAACTGCTTTCTGCTGTCTCTGTTTTGACAAAAATGAGCAATCGTTCTTCACAAGATTCAGAAGTGGGTTGAAGCTGAGATGGCAAAAGGTTGGTGAGGATGCAGTGGCAAAAGGCCCATTTCAGACTGCCCTTAATTTTTGTCTTGCTGTAACCTACATCCATGTTAAAATCATGCCAGGGCTCTGATTATATTAATTTATTTTGCCGCCTCGAATGAATAGCATCCATCCTTCCAATCATTTGAAGCATGAACCGCTCTTCAGTTACTGCCCCTTCCCCGGGTTTTTACCGCAGGTCTGCAATTGATTTGCTTCAAAAGCCTTTTGAAACCAGCCCGAAGAGGAGGCGGTGTGTGTGTGTGTGTGTGTGCCTGTGAATATCCTGTTTTCCATTGTGTGATCCGCTTTCCAGTGGTCTGCGGGACTTCCCAGCTTCCCACGCTTTCATTAAATCTCAAGAAAAGACATTGGGAGTGAGACCCCCTCCCATGGGGAGCTTTTTGAGCAACTGCGATACTAGCATCGTTAAGGGGGCGCCCTGTTTGTAAGAGGCTTTTGGGGAACATCTTTTACAGGGGAAATTTCGAAAAGTTCACCCCATTTCTTTGCCTACATATTTTAGTGAGAATTTTGGAAGGCTGGTTGAGTCCAAGTTCATTAAAAATTACTTTGCCTGGCAAAGGAATTGAGATTCATTGCTAGAACGGAGCTTTTAATCCTTTTACACAACTATCTAACTCCAAGAGTTTTCTTCATTTGGCAGCGTTTGAGTTGCTGTTGTATTACATTTATTATGAGCAACCATTCCAGAAAACGGCAATTTTCAATGTCCAGATATATACTTGTACAACACTTGAGCACCAGAATCCACAATTACTATATTACAGATAGTCTTTGACTTATAATAGTTTAGTGACCATTCAAAGTTACAATGACCCTGAAAAAAGTGATTTTTGACACAACAGCACTGAAAAACGTGATTTATGACCGTTGCACCATCCCCAAAGTCACGTGATCAAAATTCAGACACTTGGTAAGTGACTCATAACGATTGCAGCATCCCCGGGGTCATGTGATCACCTTTTGCGACCTAATAAGCAAAGTCAATGGGGAAGTCCGATTCACTTAACAACCATGTTGCTAACTTAACAACTGCAGTGATTCTCTTAACAACCTTGACAAGAAAGGTCATAAAGTGGGGCAAAACTCAACTGTTTTTGGGCTCAATTATGGCCATAGGTTGGAGACTACCTATATTAGCTTTTTATCCTGCCTTTATTACTTTGTAAGTAGCTCAAGGCTGATGGAAGTTGGTAAAGTTTGTAAGTAACTCAACAGAACATCTCCCGGCCTGTGCTCAGAACTAGTGAAGAATGTATCAGAAGCAAAAGCCACGTTCAGTTCCTCCACAGTCTGCCTTCTCCGAGGGTGGCATTTCTCCTTCGCCCCCTCCGCCCACCCCACTTCAGAGATCTGAGTGAGAAATAAGAGCCTCATAGTGTGTGTAACCATGGACACCAGTCTAGCTGGGCACAGCCGTCTCCCAACAAATTAATGGCCTCATTGTCAACCAGCATTGTTCTGCTCAGGACTTACAGAGGCCCCAGTTGACCCCATCACCCAAAATAGCCATTCTGGACTCATCATCGCTTCCTAAAGGGGATGCACCCCAGTCAAGTCTCTGCAGGGCTCAGTTGCCTCTGCTTGGAGCCTTTAGCTGAAAGGAATAAAAGGACCAGCAAGATCCTTCACGATAAAGGCTGATTATCAAGGAGCGATCCAACTTTTGTGGAAAAGCAGACAGGCATTTTGCTCAGCGTTTCAGACCAGACAAGGAAGGAAAGGAGAATTAGGCAGCCAATGAAATTCAGATGATCTCCTGGATGGACGGATGGATGGAAAGGATTGTAGATGGAAAACCCAGTTGAGTTTAGAATCAGAAAGATACAGTTCTGAAGATTGGTCCTTTATTCTATGATGACAAGTTCTGAAAACTGGATGCACACAAATGCACGTGATCTCCAGCTCTATAGGTTTCCAGTTCTTGAGAATTACAAATGTCCCACCCATCCTTTCGTTCATGCAGATTCTCAGGCACCCAGGTCATGGTTGTCCCAAAGATGCTTTTTCAAAAGGCAGCTGGTTTTTGTTTTTCCTTGAAGACATTTTGCTTCTTATCTTGGAAGCTTCTTCAAAACCAAAGAAGCTTCTTGGATGAGAAGCGAAAGGTCTTCAAGAAAGAAAAAGAAAAAAGAAAGAAAGAAAGTCCATTGCTTTTTGGGACACCCATCTTTTCTTTCAGATAAGAACATTTCCTCAAGGTGACTCTATAACCACAGAAACTAATATAACTAATATTATCCAGGTAATGTGTTCAAGCCACTTCATGTTTTCATTCCAGTAACTGCACACTGTCCTCCTTTTCAATTTTGAATGCTGAAGGATTGACATGGCTTTAGGGAGGATCTTGATGGTTTCCTCTGAATCTGTCATTTCAAACCGATTGACAGCTTCACCTAACGTCCTCCAGTCTAGAGGTTTCAAGGGACTGCATCTCCCTAAGACTGAGAATTCGTAACTCAAGACTGCCATGCTGGGGACAGCAGAAGGAGAACATTCTGCTAGTTTTCCACTTCAGTACATCAGTCGGCAAACTTAAAAAAAAAAAAAAACCTGGATGCATTTGAGAGCATCCTGTGGCAACAGCTAAATCATAAAGCACTTTGCAGGGGGAGGTTAAACTGACCCCCCTTTTCTTAGAAAGGTGGGTCTTCTCCTCTCTCTCCCCCAGTTTTTGTTTTAATCTGGCAGAAAAAGTCAGCACGCTGCATTAGTCTCCCCATCAGAGTCTACTTCCTAATTCCGTCATGTTTTTTCTTCCAGTGTCCAGGAAGACAGGACCGGTACCTATGAGAATGCATAAAGAGCAACAAGCCAAGAATTAAAATCCTGTCCTTGTTCCCTATGGCCAATTGCATGAGATGCAATGGTGTTGGAAGGAGGTCTTGGGGACCCAATCCTCAGCCCCTCACTGCTGCAGGCAACTCCTCCTTCCGAGGACGCATCCTCCTTCTCCCCGCTGTGCTGCCCCTCCCTGGCGGGTGGAAGAGACAAAGTCCTCAGTCCGATGGACGCCTTCTATCAGGTAGGTGGAAAGCAGCGGGGTCTAGCAGGTGGCCAGATGAGGCATGGAGGGGTGTCTGTGGCTGGGGATGCCATCTGGGCTCTGAGTGAGTTTCCAAATTCACAGGTGGGCTGTCGGGAGAGAAAAGCCATGTGGGTTTGGAAAGAGGAAGGGCGAGGGCTGCTTCTCTGAAGAGATCCAAGAGGTGAGAGGGGATGTGGATCTGAGTGTGTTGTGCATAATCACAGGTCCTTAAGTGCACATGCTGCACACTCGGTGAGAAAGAAAAGAAAGGAGGAGGAGAAGGAGGAGGAAGGAAGGAAGGAAGGAAGGAAGGAAGGAAGGAAGGAAGGGGAAGGAAGAAGAAAGAAAGAAAGAAAGGAAAGAAAGAAAGAAAGAAAGAAAGAAAGAAAGAAAGAAAGAAAGAAAGAAAGAAAGAAAGAAGAGAAAAGAGGGAGGGAGAGAAAGAAAGAAAGAAAGAAAGAAAGAAAGAAAGAAAGAAAGAAAGAAAGAAAGAAAGAAAAAGAAAGAAAGAAGGAAGGAAGGAAGATTGTGAATTGAGGGAGGGGGAAATTAGATGTCAGCAGCCAGAGGAAAGTGGAGAGTAAAGCAAAAATCTTTTCAAGTTGCTTGTTACATGGGGCAAAGCAAATTAGAGGAATTGCATCTCCACCAGTCTTGGCAGACCAGGGTGGGGCGTGGTTTCTTTTGGTCCCTCTGGGAAGGATATGTTCTTCAAAGGACCCCTCCCTGCCCTAAACAGAATTGCTGCTGGTCTCCCCTCCCCTCCCTTCCCCTCCCGCCCCACCCCAGTCTGCTTCCAAGGAAAAGTAGAACTGGAGCAAAGCTGCTCTTGGGGATCCTTCAGGACTTGCTCTTTGGGGGACATCCGGACAGGTAAGTAGGAGCCCCCCCCTTCTTCAAAGATGGGAGAACATCACCTTCCCACCTTCCTTGTCATTGCCAGCCTTCCTAAAAAAAAAGGAGGGGCACTTCGGAAACCAGAGAGAAAGGAACAAGGGGACAGGGGGTCTTGTTGAAATATAAGCGGAACAATCATCGTTGTTGTTGTTGTTTTTAAAACTATTTTCTACATTTTTTAAAATGCAAAATAGATCATTTCTGCCTGCTTGTTGGGTTAAATCAAAAAAAGGCATGCTGTAGATCTCTCTCTCCTTTTTTTTTGGTAGTCTTAAACCTTAAAGTTTTGCAAAATTTATGGACTTGGAAAAATCAGAAGGATGGTGACAGGGTTTAAAGACTGATATCGGTTTGAGAGATGGGACGGGTTCCGTGTCCCTGAAAGGGATCCGGACCGACATCCCCCAGCATCTTTAAGACAGCAGCCTCTCTAGCAAACAGTAATACAAGAGCACAGATGGGCTGTTTGGGCACAGCTGATGAATGAGGTATTCCATTACTAAAGTGACAGCTTTAATGCAAGTCTCCTCCTTGTCCTTGCAGAAAATTTAGGACGTGGACCCTGTATATTTTACAAAGAGTTGGCTCTCAGAGAGGGAAGGAATGGCACTGAATTTAAATCTATACTAGCTCTGATGCCTACAACGGAATGATAGAATTCCTGTCTTTGTAAACTTCATCCTGGGTTCCTCCCCTCTCTCCTTTCCCCCTTTCCTTTTTCTTTTCTTTTCCTTTCTTTTTTCCTTTTCCCTTTTTCTTTCCTTTTTCCTTCCCTTCCCTTCCCTCCTGCCCTTCCCCTTCCCTCCACAAAGACAGGGTACATAGCCCTTCTTCTCTCCCCCCCCTTCTCCTCCACAACAAAATCCCTGTAAAACAGGGGTATCCATGGTGGGGAGGGACAGATCACAAAATAATCAAGATGCCACCTGCAAGATTCACCCCACCTTTTTCTACATGCCCCTAAAAGGGATGGGCTTGTAATGCACCCCCACCCTCCATAGACATTCTTGTTGTAAGTTAGCCATCTACCAAAAGTCAGACAAAAGAGATGGCTCTCTCTGTCCCATCCCACAGAATTCTCTCAGCTATTATGACTTCACTTTCTGGGTTGATTTTCCTTCTGGGTGACTGAGCAAAGCCAAGCCCTGGGCTGTAAACACTCTTTTCAGGTTGTTGTTTTGTTTTGTTTTTTAAGATTGCTTATGGAGTAGTGCATGTACTCATTTTCAGCTAAAAGAATCTATAAAAGAAATACAAGCACAGTTGAACTCGAGAGAAGCATCCATAGTGTATCGGTGCCCAGGGCTTCACTTTGCCTGCTTCTGTGTAGGATAATAACTCTGAGTGGAACATACAAGGGTGTGCTAGTCACAGAGAAGGCACAAACTGAGTGCCGTCGTCTTGAAATCATGTGGCACTCAAGCTCCATCATACATGCTAAAAGCAATGGGTTCACTAGAGCAGGGGTCTCCAACCTTGGCAACGTTAAGCCTTGTGGACTTCAACTCCCAGAATTCTGGGAATTGAAGTCCACAAGGCTTAAAGTTGGCAAGGTTGGGGACCTCTGCACTATAGCACTCTTCCTTAGGGGCATCTGTTACATTTAGTTAGTTAGTTAGTTAGTTAGTTAGTTTTATATGATTGCTCCACTCACTTGGTGACTGCAGAAGTAAAACCCTAAAGACAAAGACTACAGAAGTAAAACCCTAAAGACAAAGCCTCCACCTTCCTGGTGACAACAATCCAACCAACCACTTGACAAGCTCCATATCACCCTGAGGTCCTCAGGCCCATTGGTAAAACCATGTCTTTGTGGCCTTTCGAAAGAGTATCAAGGTGGAGTCCATCTTATCTCTATGGGGTCTGCAGAATGGAGTCAACAAAGTCAAAATGGTAGAGAGTGACTGGCCCAAAGTTACCCAGCTTGTTTTCATGCCTAAGGTGGGACTAGAACTCATCGTCTCCTGATGATTGGTCCAAATCCCATTGGAGGAAAATTCCACTTAGGGTTAGGGTTAGGTCACCATGAACTCCTAGAGCAAAATGGACGTCACCAACAAATTCGGAGTGCTTAGGTATGGTTAGGAGGGCACTGACTTTTCTAGCCTGCCCTATCTATATTTGCTGGTAAAATACATGGGAAAATCCCATTGGAGGAAAATTCCACTTAGGGTTAGGGTTAGGTCATCATGAACCTTTAGAGAAAAATGGACGTCGCCAACAAATTCGGAGTGCTTGGGTATGGTTAGGAGGGCACTGACTTTTCTAGCCTGCCCTATCTATGTTTACTGGTAAAATACATGGGAAAATCCCATTGGAGGAAAATTCCACTTAGGGTTAGGGTTAGGTCACCATGAACTTCTAGAGCAAAATGGACACCGCCATCAAATTCGGAGTGCTTGGGTATGGTTAGGAGGGCACTGACTTTTCTAGCCTGCCCTATCTATGTTTACTGGTAAAATACATGGGAAAATCCCATTGGAGGAAAATTCCACTTAGGGTTAGGGTTAGGTCACCATGAACCTCTAGAGCAAAATGGACACCGCCAACAAATTCGGAGTGCTTGGGTATGGTTAGGAGGGCACTGACTTTTCTAGCCTGCCCTATCTATGTTTACTGGTAAAATACATGGGAAAATCCCATTGGAGGAAAATTCCACTTAGGGTTAGGGTTAGGTCACCATGAACCTCTAGAGCAAAATGGACACCGCCAACAAATTCGGAATGCTTGGGTATGGTTAGGAGGGCACTGACTTTTCTAGCCTGCCCTATCTATGTTTACTGGTAAAATATATGGGAAAATCCCATTGGAGGAAAATTCCACTTAGGGTTAGGGTTAGGTCACCATGAACCTCTAGAGCAAAATGGACACCGCCATCAAATTCGGAGTGCTTGGGTATGGTTAGGAGGGCACTGACTTTTCTAGCCTGCCCTATCTATGTTTACTGGTAAAATATATGGGAAAATCCCATTGGAGGAAAATTCCACTTAAGGTTAGGGTTAGGTCACCATGAACCTCTAGAGCAAAATGGACACTGCCAACAAACCAGCTTTCAGGCCTAAGGTGGGACTAGACTAGAACTCACAGTCTCCTGGTGATTAGCACAAAGTCTCCAAGCCCACTTTCATGCCTAAGGTGGGACTAGAAGTCACAGTCTCCTGCTTTCTAGGCAAGCACCTTAACCACTAAACCACTGGCCTGCTATCTGCACTGCAATGAATTCCTTAGATAAAGTAGAACAAGTAAAAGTTAGTAGGGATGAGTTTCAAAACATCTGGCTAGGAAGAAGATTTAATCAAGCCTCATATACTTGTCAAATAATTCGTTAGGAAAGTTGTCCCTTATTTTTGCCATTTTCTCAGTGGCTAGTGATAAGATAGAAGTTTTGGGTCAAATACAAAAAAAAAAAAAAAATACCAGTTCTGGAACTGGAGTTGATATACATTTGTTTGTTTGTTTTTCCCCAGATAAAATAAACCAGCTTAGCTGGGTTGCAGAAAAAAAGGAATCCTTTTTTCCCCTCCAGAATTGGAAGAGGTGGTGAACTCACCAAAACAGTGAGCAGCACCTGGATGGAGGCTGGAAAAGGGTGTTTTCCTAAGAAATATCACACACAGCCTCAGCAACAACACCTGGAGGAAAAACAAAGGACGAAGCCACCCGCCATCTCTCTACACTGCCTTCTCTTCTGTCTGCTTCTACCGTCTTTGTCATCCTGCCTCAGTCCTGCCCCCACGCCCACTGACGCCAGTGGAGAAGTCATTGTAAGTCAAACCTGAAGGTGATAAAACTTGGGGACTGAAAACTGGGGAGTTGTAACATCTAAGACAGGGTTCCCCAACCTTCGCAACTTTAAGACATGTGAACCTCAAGTCCCAGGATTCCCCAGCCAGCTATGGGAATTGAACTCCAGACATCTTAAAGTTGCCAAGGTTGAGAAACCTAAGACCATGGGTATCCCAAAGGTGCTTTTTCACAAGGCAACTGGACTTGCTTGTTTTTCTTTGAGGATGTTTCGCTTCTCTTCCAAGCTTCTTCAGCTCTGAAGAAGCTGAAGAAGCTTCTTGGATGAGAAGCGAAACGTCTTCCAAGAAAAACAAGCAAGTCCAGTTGCCTCATGAAAAAACACTTTTGGGACAACCATGACCTGAATGACTGAGAATCTCCATAGACACTAAGAAGATGGGTGCGTCTACAAAATGGCGAAAGCCAAGCCAGTTCTGTGCTGCAGATCTTCTCTGGGTGATTGAGGACATTGATCAGACTAGTGTTTCTCAACTTCAGCAACTTTAAATGTGGAGTTCAACTCCCCAAAATTCCCTAATTGGCAGTCAGGAACCTTCTGGGAAACTCTAGAAGATGAAATCCACCTCTCTTAAAAGTTGCTGAGATTGAACACCCTTGAGTTGGAGAATTGGCTTTCGTGAAAGGTAGTGAGATTTTTTTTCTTCCTGAGAGCACCTTAAAAACAAAAGCCCAATTGTTTGATAAATTAAAAACCCACCGTTTCATAAATTAAATCTAAACTCTTTAAGAAATGAAAAACCAGCAATTTGGTATAGAAAAGCATTCCAAAAATCTGGCTGCATCTTTCAGGGCTTGGGCAAAATGCAGAATTCGCGATTTTGTAGCTAGGTATTTGAGAATTGGCCCTGTGGTTTTTCTTCTGCGTAGGCAAAGAAGCAGTATAAGCAAATTAGAGAGGCCCAGTTTAAGAAATTTAGAATTCCCAGGAGGAAAGTCAGGATTACAGCGTCTCATGTTATCTACTGATCATCTTTGTTTAGGAGTGGTTAATACGTTATGGATACCTTCCATCTGCTGATTCTACTACAGGCCAACTACAGACATGGGAAGATGTGGCAACAGCCCTTCGTATGATGCAGCGTTTTGCTGGCATTGCAGAAACTGGGATTCTAGGTATAACAAAACTGAGAGATATTAGTATCTTGCTTGTTCTCTTTGGAGACCCATGGTTTTGCAGTGGATATCTCTCTCAACCCAAAAATGTGAGGTCAGTCCAATCCCCTGAACTCCAGTGAAAGAAGTTATTGTAGCATCCCTGAGAGATTCAGGCACTAATTGAATATCTTCAGTAATTAAATGTGCCTCCCAGAAATAGTCAAATCATATTAATTCTCAGAAAGATGAGCTACCTAGAACTTGTGATAGCTAGATAAATGAAAATGGAGAGAATGGAAGGTTTGGATTTAGATTTCTTTTTAATGTTCCTTATGTCAATCGGGCGGGGAAGAAAAATAATGAAGTGTGGAAGACCGTTCTTTTTGTGCATTCTCCTGTTGCTCAGTTTTGTTTATTGAAATAAAGATGATTGGAAGGACAGCTTTCAGGATTAATTGCCTGCTGGAAAGAGGTAGCTGCTAAATTAACACAGGGAAGAATTTCTCTGCTCCTAGGCAAAATTGCAAAGGTTTTCTACAGTGGATTCTAAGATGAAAATAAAAAATGAGGGAAACTATCAGGAAAATTTTATCCACATTGCTCTGTTAGGAAATACATATCTTTGCTATCTGTCACTACAGATAGTGTGTGTGTGTGTGTGGGAGGAATATTAATATCTGCTAGAATTAGGGTTCATTTTTCATATACAGTTTAGTTTTCAGAATTTATTTATTAAATTTATATGTCACTGACTGCAGCATCAGTGCATTTCAATACAAAGGAACCTTCAGTGCCATTAGAAATTTAGGGTTAAGCCTGTCTGCTAATATAACTGGCCCCAAAATTACCTGTTTCCAAGAAATTAAGGCAAGGCAATTTGAAAGACATAGGGAAAGGACCGAAAGTTTAAATTTGGCCGTGCATAGAAATGTTCTTTGAACACCATAGAAAAGCAGAATGGATTCAGCAAAATAAAGAGTGGAAAACTGGTATGTCCTAGGACAGGGGTAGGCAACCTTGGCTCTTTTATGACTGGTGGACTTCAGCTCCCAGAATTCCTGAGCCAGCCACGCTGAGGGGACAGGGAGAGGTTTCCAAGCTGAGCCATGCTGGCTCAGGAATTCTGGGAGTTGAAGTCCACGAGTCATAAAAGAGCCAAGGTTGCCTACCCCTGTACTAGGAAAATGTTCCACTTCCTTGCAGAACTGAAGTCGAACTAGTTGACTTTTTCACTGTGAAACATTTCTGGGTGTTTGAATTCTTGCAGATGATGCCACGCTGAGTCTGATCCGGATGCCTCGCTGTGCCTTGCCTGATATTATCCCACACATCCCTCCAAAGCTTTCTTTGAAGGCAAGGACAAGGAAGAAGAGATGGCAGAGGAGAAAAAGTCGGAAGAGACGCAGCGTTGATTCAGTTTGGACTAAAAGAAACATCTCCTGGAAGTAGGTATCCACATGTAGGCTTAAGGCAATGTTTCTCAATGGTGGCAACATTAAGAGGGGTAGACTTCAAACTCCCAGCCTTCCTCAGCCACCCGTCTTAAAATTGCTGAGGCTGAGAAACACTAGTTGGGTGGGAAAATAGACTGAGAAAACAATTGTACCCTGTACAAAGATTCAGTGGCAGGGTTCAGACAATTAGGTTAACTTGGAAATAGGTAGCTGGTGGTTTATTATGGTTAGATGAATCCAGCAATGGAGTCCGCCTGCTAAGTGAACCTGGGCATCGTGTTAAGCCATTATAAAGTCTATTGGTTTGGGGTATGGTGTGTTATCTGAAGCCAGGAATTGTGTTTTATTAAACCTAGTTTAGGATTAGTGTAAATCCATCTTATTTTTCCCATAGGGTGAAGAGCTATCCCCAAAGAGCCCGTCTCAGCCGAGAGACGATGAGAGTATTGATCTATTATGCCCTAAAGGTTTGGAGTGAAGCTATACCATTAACCTTCCATGAGGTTGGCGGCCACAATGCTGACATCTCTGTGGAGTTCCTCCATTTGGATCACCATGACAACTATCCGTTTGATGGACCTGGTGGGATGGTGGCCCATGCTTTCTTTCCTGGAGACCCCCTGAGGGCTGGCACTGTCCATTTTGATGAGGATGAAGAATGGACTTTCCGCTCCCCAGGTAATTTGACTTTCTCACATAGTGGAAGAGTTAAGAACTGTAAACCTGTTCAGGTGTTTGCCTGACTGCATGGAAGGCTCACATTGGATGGAGAATGGCTCCATGCATAGAATCCTGCTCTTGTCTTCTCCTGTCACCCCACTTTTATCTAAAAGTCTGAAGGTCAACTGTACTTGCCTTGCTTTGAATGTGAGTAAACCGTCTGAGTGACTTTAAGGCTGCATGTACTTTTCTCCCCCCATGCTGACCTCTCTATGGGTTCAAGTGAGTGTCCAAAAGGAGCTACAATGAACCTGAGGAGGTGGCTGAACTTGTGACATGGAGGTACGGTAACCATCAAACAAAAAAGCACAGTAAAGTCAACACATACATTCCCTAATGCATTTTCTGATGTGGTTCTCTTATCACAGGGATTTTTCATTGTTCTCTCAAACTTCCAAAGCAGGGCCCCTAATTTCTACCTCAACCAAAAAAGATTATTTTCTTTGACCATCATCATGTCTTTATTCCCACCATTTCATCTTTTTTTTTTTTTTTTGATGGTGCTCTCAGACTTCCACCATAACCCAAGAAAGAAATTGTCTTTCTAATTTCGTGTGGGGAAGGTTTGGTGGAAACCAGTGTTGAAAAACAAAAAGTAAAAATATGGATTTTACAAGACCATGGTTTCCCCAGTTGCAATGTATGGCTGTGAAAGCTGGACCATAAGAAAGGCTGAGCGCCAAAGAATGGAGGCCTTTGAACTATAGTGCTGGAGAAGACTCCTGCGAGTCCCCTGGACTGCAAGGTGATCAAACTGGTCAGTCCTGGAGGAGATCAACCCCGACTGCTCTTTAGAAGGCCAGATCCTGAAGTTGAAACTCAAGTGCTTTGGCCACCTCATGAGAAGGAAGGACTCACTGGAGAAGAGCCTGATGCTGGGAAAGATGAAGGGCAACAGAAGAATGGGACGACAGCGAAGGAGGTGGCTGGATGGAGTCACTGAAGCAGTAGGCATGAGCTTAAATGGACTCCAGAAGATGGTAGAGGTAGGAAGGCCTGGAGAAGTGTTGTCCATGGGGTCGCGGGTCGGACACAACTTCGCAACTAACAACAACATATAAATAAAACTATTATGCTAGTCTGGCCAATTTGACTTTTCCTCTATCCACTAAGCAGGTTGAGATGTTGCCCTGTATCCAAAGATTCACCCTCTGATGCAACCCAGGCCCATCATCTAGGATGGAGACCTAGATTCAACTTTTAGGGCAAATCTAGTTCTCTGCTCTAGAGTACCTGATGGCTGAAGTTTGAGAACTGTAGGGGAGGAGCATCTATGGAGATTCTCAGTCATCCAGGTCAAAGTTGTGTCAAAGGTGCTTTTTCAAAAGGCAACTGGATTTTTTTTGTTTTTCCTTGGTTTCGCCACTCTTCAACAAAGAAACAAAGAATGTCTAGTTGTAGGAGAGGAGCTGTTTTGAGAGGAGGCAGCCGTTATCCATACGTACTTTTCATATCTAATCTGAGCTCTCAAGATGCCATAAACAATTCAACAAAGAGTGGACACATTACTTTGTAGGAAATGATTGGACAGGATGATATTTTTGCTCTCCTTTTGATCCTGTGCTGTGTTATTTGTGATGCCTTCTCTCATTTTGTAGACTCAGTCTGGATCACTCAATCAGTGATTTTCATTGTTTGACAGATGACTTTGGCACCGACCTTTTTGCTGTGGCCATTCATGAATTTGGCCACAGCCTTGGCTTAACACATTCATCTTCCAAGCACTCTATCATGCGTCCATATTACCGGGGACCTGTAGGAGACCCATTGCAATACCAGTTGCACATGGAGGATCATGCTGAAATCCAGAAGCTTTACGGTAAGTGCAACAACCTGGGATCTTAAATAAACAATGCTGGGAGGCGGTCAACCTATTCTCCAAAGCATCTGAAGGCAGAACAAGAAGCAATGGATGGAAACTGTTCAAGGAGAGAATTAGTCTAGAAGTAAGGAGAAATTTCCTAACACTTAGAACAATCAGTGGAATAGCTTGCCTTCAGAAGTTGTGGGTGCTCCAACACTAGAGGTTTTAAGAAGAGATTGGACAACCATTTGTCTGAAATGGTGGATGGTTTAATGCCTCAGCAGGGGGTTGGACTAGAAGACCTCCAAGGTCCCTTCTAACTCTGTCGTTCTGTCTTCTGAGTTAAGACCTTGCCTGAGTCCTGTGGACCAGCCCAACTTTCTCAGCTTTGTCCAGTAGATCCAGTGTACTTCAACAGGCTTGACATCTAAGGGCTCTGTTAAAAACCAGGTTGGAGAAAGCAGATCTTTGCAATTTTTTTTTTTTTTAAAAAAAACTTGTTTAAAATCTTGGTACAATATCTAACTCTGAAGATATTGGTTTTGCATGTCCAACCCATTCTTTAATCTGTAGATCTGAAATAGTGAACAAGAACTGTGTGATTTCCCCCCCCCTTTTTCATTTAAATTCATTATTTTAATATCCTTGATTCATATAATAATTATGTAGTAATATAATAAATAATATTCATACTCATTAGGAGGATTGTTTGCAAAGTCAATCAATCGAGCCTCCCATATTTTCTGTAGAATCACCTTCAAACAGACAGTGGCTCATCACTATAGGTAAACGTGCCACTATCAGTTCTGAAATAGTTCCATCTCAACTTTTAGTGATGGACTGTGTGTTTGTGTGTGTATGCGTGGGTGTGGGTGTATGTCTGTATTTGACCAAGCAGGTTGACGCAGTTCAATAGCTTTCAGTCTAATTTGTATTGGCCTTCTTTTCAACATTTGTCTGGACTGTCTATTCCCATTTTCTGAAATGTATGCCACCAAAATTCTTCTTTTCCCTTAAAAACATTTCCTTTTTTTCCTCTCCTTTTCAAACCAGGGAGTAAAGTTTTTCAGTCCACAGAGAAGCATGATGTAACGACCCCATTGCCAGGCCTTCTCTCCTTATCACAGAATTTCCCTGCAGTCAGGTTAGATGACACTCTTTATACTATATTTGCAAAGGGTAAATCAAGGTCTATTTTTGATAGCCTCTGCATGGATCTGTTGGACGATCCCAACTTTGGCACCTCTGCAACATTAAATATAAGATTCTGTAGAAAGATGTAGATTAGACTCATGCATCAGATTGTCTGACTACGATCTATTGAACAAGCAACAATTATCTGGTTTTAGACAGCATGCTAAGCCCTAAACCAGCCATTATTTAGAAACCACAGTGGTCTTCACATGTACAGTATGCACCACTTCACTGTATCTCCAATATTGTATCTCCAAAATCACGTTAATGCCACTTTCCAATGCCTTGGTAAGGCCATACTTGGAATACTGCATCCAGTTTTGGTCACCATGATGTAAAAAGATGTTGGAGACTCTAGAAAGAGTACAGAGAAGAGCAACAAAGATGATTAGGGGACTGTAGGCTAAAATATATAAGGAACGGTTGCTGGAATTGGGTATGTCTAGTTTAATGAAGAGAAGGACGAGGGTTGACATGATAGCAGTGTTCCAATATCTCAGGGGCTGCCCCAAAGAAGAGGGAGTCAAGCTATTCTCCAAAGCACCTAAAGGCAGGACAAGAAGCAATGGATGGAAGCAACCTAGAACTAAGGAGAAACTTCCTGATAATTAGAACAGTTAATCAGTGGAACAGCCTGCCTCCAGAAGCAGTAAATGCTCCAACACTGGAAGTTTTTAAGAAGAGACTGGACAGCCATTTGTCTGAAATGGTATAGGGTTTTCTGCCTGAGCAGAGGGTTGGACTAGATGACCTCCAAGGTCCCTTCCAACTTTATTATCATTATTATTATTTCACAGTTCGGTGACTGTATGCACTAACATTGCAAAAGTTTGCCTCAAATTTGTTTTACTACTACCAATTTGCAGAGACTAAGAGGTAACAATAAAGTCCTTATATACAGATAAAGCTTTTGCTGTTATTGTTAATATGGTGAATAATTTCAGTCTTTGTCTAATAATGAAGTTTATATTTAAGCAAATGTCACTTCTTAAAGTCAGGGTAGCATATTATGTTAAACTATGACTGGAGAAAACAGGCTATAATCCCAATTTAGCTATGAAACTCACAAAGGCACTTATAAAAGCTGGACGTATGACCATGTTTTGATCTTGATATTTCAGCTTATGATATAAGTAAGGTATTCTGGCCACTGAAGGAGAATTTTGTTTTTCCATCCGTGATGGAAAGCCAAGCCAAGAAATCCAGCACTAAACATATTTTCCCGTGTTGTTCAAAAATGGGGTGAAAATCCGGCCAATGATTCCAAAACAAGCCTGGCTATTAAATCATGGTCTGATGCTGGTTGAACCTGAAGCATTTCCACTTTGAACAAAAGAGGGAACTAGTCAAATTCAGGTGAGATGACTTCTGTCCCTCAGTTTGATTCAGTGTCAGGATAAGGATAATATACATAGGAATATCATATCCATTTATCTTGCCCTGACTTTCCTAGAGGGAAATTCAACGGATATGCTCAAAATCTACTTCATAATAGAACAATACACATTGCTGCATGGGGGTAAAATGTACTTTCATGCTGCTGGCAGATCCTTTTCCATCTCTAATGAAACCAACACAGAGTTTAGGGATTCCACTGGCTGAGTTGTTTCCCCACCCCCACCCCAATTTCCTTGTTGCAGACCAGGAAAAGGATTTCCTGACCGATGTACCTCCAACATCGATGCTGTTGCTCAGATCCGAGGAGAAACGTTCTTTTTCAAAGGTTAGTTACCTTGCAGACAAAGCAGCTGCTTTCTCTCAGGGTGCACAAAAGAGGCTGGAGTGTTATTATTGGATGGGGTATTGGGCGCATGGTCAAGAGATCCAGATTCAGGGTCAGCCCTCCCCTTTTTCTAATCGAGTAGAAATTCCAGTATTAACAGGCAGGGCAAAAACCCTCTATCTTCAATCTCGTCTTCCCTTACTTGCCTTTTTTTAAAAGAAGCCCCAACCATTCCATTTTCTAATTCTCTTCATTGTCTTCTTTCAATTCTTCATTACCCTTTTTGAATGCTCATATTGATAGGCTCATATTCATCCATGTCTACACACACACACACACACACACACACCAAAATATCTGCCAAGAAAGAGGATCACCTTTTAGATGGAAATTAATGTCTCTTTCTTTTTTCTATTCCTGCTCTTGTGGCAGATCAGTACTTCTGGCGCCTGTCCCAAAGCCGGCACCTCTCTTCTCCACAACCAGCTCTGATCACTCGTTTCTGGCGAGGACTTCCTTCTACTCTCCGCAAAGTGGACGCTGTTTATGAGAGACCTGCAGATCATCGCATCCTCTTCTTCAGTGGTGAGGAGATCAGAAGTGCAAAGTGAGCTGGGCAAAGGCAGAAGGATATTCTGTTCCAATAAAACGTGACGTGCTTTAAGCCAATGGCCGTGGCAGATGTACAGAACAAGCAGAATTATTTAATTACTTTAAAGCAACTGGTGTGATTTCAAAGCACAAAATATACACTCGTCCTCTACATAATCAACTGCAGGCCCAGACAGAAACCTGCGGATTAAGAAGTGTGTTAGAAATTTTGTTTATACATAGTGCCACAGATCAAACAAAGTGTACAGTCACCATGTGCTTTACTGCTTAACTGTTTTTAACTGTAACAGGAAACAGGAAACTCTACTTACGACAAAAGAACATAGAGTATATACCATAGATCCAAACTTGTAAACATTGCCATCTACTGCCTGAATACTACTGTAGTTGTTTTCACAAAATTACATTCCATCAATGAATTCCAACAAAGTGATTTGCTGTTTCATCTCATATACAGGTAGTCCTTGACTTACCATTGGTGGCTCACTGTCCTTTTGAAATTAGGACAGACCCCACCCAAAAGGTAGTTATGATCCAGCTGTTTGCAGTGTCCTGTAATCATGTGTCCGTGATTTATAATATTTTTTTCTCAGAAACTGGCATTTTCTTTTGATTTCAGGCAAAAAATACTCTATAGTGAACAATGGACTTGCTTTATGACTGCTGCATTCACTTAACAACTGCCATGGAAAAAGTCATAAAATTGGGCACAATCACCCGCTTAAGGACTATCATGACTTACAATTGTAATTATGGTTGTAAGTTGAGGACAACCTGTTCTCTGTCCAGCATGCTTTTTCTAAAGCCTAGTCAATTGGTACCACTGAAAAGCCCACCAACAAGGGGCTCCAGTGCTGCCTCCCCTTTCAAAACCTTCTAAAAATGAAAATCTTTGCATCAGTGAGAGGTGACACCATCAGTCAATGTGGACTAGGGGCACCATATACCTTTGAACTTGCACTGCCCATTAGCAAATTTTCATGACCATATTCCAATTCATCATCTCAGTTTCAACTATTTGCTGCTCGAAGCCAAAAGATTTAACCGCTCCCTCAACCCCTCCAGATGCTGCCTACATGTCCCATCTCTTTTGAAACAAATGAGCATATTTTCATACTTTAATCTTCCTCAAATTGTGTGTTCTCCAAAAATAGGACTTCAGCCCACAAGGTAAGGCAGAGTCTTCTAAGGCCGTACTGCCAAAAAGCCCATAAGAGCCATGGGGTGAGTTCATCTTCAATTTTTCACCCAAAGGAATGGAAAAGGTCATGATATGTTCAGCAGAAGAACATAAACACGAAAGAAAGGAATATTAGACCATTTATTCATCAGGAATCCCAAACAATAACTTAGAGTTAAGAAGAGTTCTTCTGCTGAACATATCATGACCTTTTCCATTCCTTTGGGTGAAAAATTAAAGGTGAACTCACCCCATGGCTCTTATGGGACACATCACCTCGTGTCTTTCTTCACAAAGACCTCTTTTACAAGCTGGCACGTGGCCAAGATATCCTGTGATGAGCTTAGTAGCTCCTCCTACTGACCTGTTAACATGGGATTTACTGAATAGCTAAACTACATTACCCATAAGCCATCTCTTAAGGAGACAGTGCTTAACCCAATAAATGCCAAACATTCTAACATATAGTTCTCATCTAACTAGCTGATACAGAACACTCTAGCTTGGGAAAAATTCTACAGGTGAAGATGCTACGCTGACAATTTGCTTTGTAACCTTCCTGTTATCTCCCTCTCATTTTTGTTAATTAAAATAAATCAGGCGAGGCCAGGAGCCTGGTAGTATTAAGGGAGATGATTTCAAGTTTCCATTCCATGGGGCAGATAATCCTGAACGAATGGTTTCAATAACAAGCTATTGCTGTTGCTCATACCCTTCTCTCTTTCTCTCTCTCCATTCTTTACTCAAGGACCTCTCTACTGGGTATTTAAAGACAACAGTGTGGAGGAGGGCTACCCTCGCCCAGTCACAGACTTTGGCCTGCCCCAAGGGGGCATCAGCGGTGCTTTCTCCTGGCCTTCAGACCAGAAAACCTATTTCTTCAAGGGAGACCTTTTCTGGTGCTATGATGAGATGACACAGCATATAGAGGACACCTCCCCTCTCCTCCGGGAATCCTGGGAGCAGTTCTCCTCTTCTGTTGACTCTATCTTGAGTGAAAGTGATGGTGAGTTGGCTGTCGTCCATGGGTTGACTCAGATGAGTCCCTGCGTTCCTGTTGATCTGGGTGCTTGGGAATCATGAAATGCCATGGGGTCTCCAGTCTATCCTACCCTTTCAAGAACAATCAGGCCCTTTCGGCTTTTAAATGTCTTATGTAGATTCTCAATCATCCAGGTCACGATTGTCCCAGACTGGGTGCTTTTTCCAAAAGGCAGATGGACTTTCTTGTTTTTTTTCCCCTTTGAAAATGTTTCATTTCTCATCCAAGAAGCTTCTTGAGAATTGAAGAAGCCTCTTGGATGAGAAGCAAAATGTTTTCAAAGGGCGGAGGGGGGGACAAGAAAATCCAGTTGCCTTTTGGAAAAAGCATCTTTGGAACAAGCAGGTCCTTTTGCACAGCTGTAAGAAAGGAAGAATTCATATTGTGTGAAATAAAAGGGTGCATATATGGGTCCCGTGATCAAAATTCAGACACTAGGAAACTGACTCACATTCATGACAGTTGCAGTGTCCCAGGGTCATGGGATCTTTTGCAATCTTCCTCAGTGAGGAAGCCAGATTCATGTAAGATCTGTGTCACTAATTTAACAACTGCGGTGATTCCCCTAACAACTGTGGCAAGAAAGGCTGTAAAATGGGGCAGAATTTACTGAACCGCTCTTTCACATAGCAACAAATGTTAGGCTCAATTGTAGCTGTACGTTGAGGGCTATCTGTACTGCTTCTGCTTCCTCTTCCAAACCATTCTGTACTGTATATTATTCCAGGGACTTTTCTCAGTCTTCTGAAACTCTGCGTCAATCTATTGCTGCTGTCACTTCTCTGTCCTGCTGCAGGAACACTGTATGTTTTTAAGGGCCAACAGTACTGGAAGTTTGGCCAGGACACCCTTCAACTCCAAGATGGATACCCTCGTTCCATTGCCACCGATTGGCTGGATTGCACCACTGAGCCTCTAAGGACAATGCCTACTAGCCCTTCGTTGGGCGTTAGACTTCCACCCAACTTCCGAGGGCCTCAACTGGAGGTTGAGGGACGTGTGTGTTTTTGTGCTGCTTTTTCTGCCATTTCTTCCACCTTGCTCAATATTTTGCCCTGGGCTGTCTTGATCTTGCAAGGACTTGCCTAGAGTGGATGAGGAATATTGACCTTGGGTTGCCCTATGTATTTCTCTATGACCTTGATTTGAGGCACTATCTCGGAGGATCACACTGCACATCTGCAGCTGGACAAAGAGAGCCCTCCTGATGAAACTGAAAGTGACAAGCCCTTGAGGTGCAGGCTGAGGTTGCCCATCCTTCAAGGTGTGGCGGCTTCACTTTGCTAGAATGGAAGAGCAGCAAAGGCCTCCACACGGACCCATCGGAACTTGTGCTTCAAATAGCAACCTTTCTGTAAAATGTTCATAGGGAAAGTCAAGATGTCAAGACTTGCGCGTGGATTGGATTTAAGTGAGGGAGAGGTGCGCATACTCAGCCTCACTCTCTCTTCCCAGATTCCATCTTATTCCAATGGCAGGACAAAAGTCGAGACAATTGGAGATGAGCTGGGTGCAGAAGGACAATCTTGGCACAAGAAAAGCGAGCACTCCGCAAAGCCAGAGCTGCAAATGCTGAATTAACACCGTCTACATTTCTTTGTTCAGTATGTGGCAGAACATTCCGTGCTAACATCGGTCTTATTAGCCACCTACGGACACATCGTTGATGACCCATAACACACAAGATGTCAAGGTCTTCATCGAAATCGATGGACGAACAACAACATTTGTGTAAAATAACAAGGAGCTGGAAGATGGACACTAAGGGAATCGGAACGTCCAATCACAAGACAAAAAAAAAAAGCTTTCATAGACTCTAGGAGGTGGAAAATAAGGAGCTCTTTTGTTAAAGAAGGAACCAAAGATAGGTCAATTCTTTTTATGTTGTAAAAGTTCTCCCTAGGCCAAAGATGGTCTGGTGAAACATGTTTAGTGAGATCTGATTTGCTGTTCCGGGAAGGAAGCAGTGAGTCTTCCCCCCTCCACCCCCCTTTTTTTAAAAGCAGGAAAGAGTTGCCGCTTTTGATAATGACTCCTTCAGGATGCAATCTTGCTTGTCAGGGCCTGTCAGCTAATCAAATGGCTTCACTGTAGCCTATGATGATTGAAAGATGATGAATGCCTGCAGGGTGGATAAGAGCATGGCTTTTGTTGTTTAAAGCAGGCATGACAGATGGAGCCAGATCCAACCTACCAGGCAACTTTTGACAGATCATAGACTTGAATGGCAACTTAACATATCGGAGACTAGACAAGTTTCGGTCCTTGCTTCCGGCAAAAAAGATAGACTCCCTGTGGGACATCTGCTTCCCTTGCTACTCATCTTCCTTGTCCCACCCAGGGTGATGGGGGTATTCCCTGGTTTCCAGGTGGGGAGAAAGACACAAAATCAGAGGTCATGGGAAAAGGAGGAAAGTTATTAAAGCCAGCATGAAATCATATAACTTTAGGTGTTCTTTGATCGATTGCATGCTGTTCCTGGAGATGAAAAACCCCCATTGTTATGTTTACACAACACATCTAACCTGACAGGTGTGTTCAAACAAAACGTGGTTAGGATTAAGGCAGCTGGTGGATCAAACCCAGCCTCTTTAGTGAGTTTGTGATTCAATCTATTATGTGAAAACAGGAAAAGTATAATTCCGTAAAAGTTATGGTTCAAGGGCTCGAATACAGCTAATGAGGCAAGCAAGGAAGTAAAGCTATCATTAGATGGTAAGAATCAGCACATTTCGTGTAAGGTTGGGTTTGTACCCTATGAATGCGACTGGTTTGGTTTTGGTTCAGGGCAATGTGTGAACCCAGCCGCAGACTTTTCTTAACTCGCATCAAAATGTTCTATTTCCAGTAGAGACGAGAATGTTGCATTACCTATCTTATTCTAGACGTAAAAAGAAAGAGGCTTACAATTGGGAGGAACTGGGTCAAAAAATTAAAAGAGAGAATCCCTCTAGTTAAAGTTGCCCTACTGCAGGGGTCTCAAACTTGGCCCTTTTATGACTTGTGGACTTCAACTCCCAGAATTCCTCAGCCACAAGTCATAAAAGGGCCAAGTTTGAAGATCCCTGCCCTACTGTTGTCACAATACTGAAGACTGAAGTAGGGAAACAGAAGGTTTCATCCATGGTTCAGATGCAGAGCTGCTAATTAAAGGGCGTTGGTCAAAAGCAGAAGGCAAGATGGACACAGTGGCTCCAGTTTAATAAGGCTTGAATGGTTGATGGGCAGAAAGGCACAGTCACAGAGTATTGCCAGCATAAGGTGGAGACTCCAGCTTTCACTTCCAGTTTGTAAAGAATTGTTTGAAGAGCAGACTTTCACGGCCTTGGGGCAGGATCTGTACCTGGAACCAGATTAAAAGCAGGTGAGATGTGGAGAGAAATAAAAGAAGCAGAGAACAAATCCTTGTCCACTTCTCTTCAAGAACTCTTCAGATGTGTGAGTTACACCACAACATTGCTGTTGTTCTCCAGACCTTTCATCCTAGACCTTCTCTGAACCGGTCAGTGGAGGTGTGTCATTCTTTTATGAAAACCTTCTGGGCACTTTGAAGATGGTTTGCCCAGGCTTGAGGGATCCTTACCTGAGTGTTCTGAGGATATTTCATTTGTGAGATGAAATTCTCTGCTACTCTCAGAGCCGCTTGTTGTTCTTGTTCATTTGCTTTGAGGCCTGTAGACAGATAGGAAAAGGGATGATAATTTACAAGAGCTGGGAGAGGGACCTTGGCCAGTGCTGGATTACGAGAGCCAAGGTAGTCCTTTCAATAAAAGAGAAATGTCTATTATTGCCCGTCATCTAAGTATAAGTGTATCTGCTTATATACAGATGAAAAGGCAAAGCAATCCCTTCCTTCCTTCCTTCCTTCCTTCCTTCCTTCCTTCCTTCCTTCCTTCCTTCCTTCCTTCCTTCCTTCCTTCCTTCCTCCCTGTCCCATCTTTCATTTAACAGCTCAAGGTGGTGGCACCCATAATATCCTCTCCCTTTATTTTCTTCCATTCTCTACACCCAAATCCATCCAGAGATCTTCTATAACTGAGGATGGATTTGAATCTGGATGTCCCTATTACCAGTCCAATACCTTAACCACTATAGAAATCATTGCAAAGAAAAAAGAAAGAGGTGGTGGTGATGGCAGGAAAAATAAATAAATAGAAGCTGATGACTTAAGGGACATTGATCAGCACACACACACACATACACACTTTGTATTTATGGCCCCAGAGAAGGCCCCAAAGCAACCTATGATGGGCATTACCTTTCCAAACAAAGATCTTTCCATGCTGCCCGTTGTCCAGGATGAAACAGTCATCTGTAATGAGCTGGTCCTGGTGGAATGGACTGGATTCGGAGACTTTAGTCAGACTCATTTTCCCCGTCATGTCAGAGACCTCAGAATTCAGAAGATAGAATTTATGACACTTAATGGAATCCAATAATCACAGAGTAGATGTCAGGCTTTTGAGGTTTGTGGTGCACTTTTAAAAGCAGAATGTTCTCATCCACCAAACCTGGAAAAAGTGTAAAATGCCTGAGCATGGAGCCCATTCCTTCCTGTATTCTGTATTTCCTACATGTTGGACACCATTTTAAAACTGAATTAATGCGCCCAGAACCAAGAAAAGACCTCAATGGAACCTTTGATCCAGTTGTTAGCAGCTAAAAATTGTGGACAGAAAGCACTTAGAAGCAAGACTGTTCTCTAACATAGCATTCCCTAATGTCACATTCTACAGAATTATCAGAAGAGTAAGCCTTTGAATCAGTGTGGTAAACACTGAGAATTCTGAGAGCTATAGTAGAATTTGGGGGGTTAGACAAATTGATATCAAAAGAATCTTTGCACTGAGCAATCATGGTTGGGCTGCTGCCAGGATCTCAGATCTCAGTGCATTATGGTATACCTAGATCAATTATAGTCACTGGGCTTAATGGTTTTAAAGGACATAGTCTTATAAATAGTTACATGTATGAGTACACTTGCTTGAAATTGAGTCCTACCATACATGGAATCCCCATATCTGCCTCATAAAGATGCAACAAAAGTGAGCAAAAAACAAAGGTGGCTCAGCTAATCTTGGAAAACAGCTCTTTTTTTTTCATTGCCACATTTTCAAGATGAATGTGCGTTTTTACACACTTCTAACCCACAGTCAAAAAATTGCAGCAAGTAAATGACACAGACAAAGTCATTTGGGTTTATTTTCTGTTGGGGTTGGCTTGTGAACTTAATGCTTTGTGGCGTGGCAGGGCTGCCTGGAAGACATCAGCAAGCCTTCTCATTCCAGTGGCATCATGGACTTTGTGGCTACCCATCCTTTTAAAGGCACACAATGTCCAGCGTAGGATCATACTGGGGCATTACAGTTGATTAAGCAGATAGTTAGATTGTAGATTCAAATGTTCAACCACCAGCTAATAAGTTTCCCTGTCAAAGAGGGAGAAGGAGGTCTCAGAAGATGCCTACAAGAGAACAATTTCCTGGAGACCCCACGCAACTTAATGCAAGTTTCTTTTTGGTTGTTACCTTATACAATACTGCTGCAATAGCATTCTTCTGATCAGCCACAATATCTTCCTCAGCAGTGCCTTCTTTCAGAACCGGCTTAGGACCCAGTACCTAGAAAAATGGATCATGCTAATATTGGTTTGCAGCCGAATCCTTCCTGAACTGGAACCTCAGTGCTACACTTTAACGTGGGCCAGCTCAGATTCAGTGTGCAGCCGTTGCCAGAAACATATTCCCATCTAGAAAGTACTTCTTCATCCATGTGCAACAGAAGTGCATCAGAAATGTATTGATGTGTCTTTCAGTTTTGGGTCTACAATTCCTGGATTACTAGCCAGGAAGTTGGTTCTGACCCTGTCAACCACTCAAATGTAATTCTTGGTGTGAAAAAGTCAAGCTTTCCTGATATAGCTAGTCCTGTTCTGGACGAATCAGGAGTGTGAATTACTCTAAAACAACAACGTTTGTTCCCATGACCCATCTCTGTATAAAAGTCCTCACCAAATGTTTCAGTGATCCAGAATATTTCATAAGTTTTTAGAGACTTTTTGTACACCTTTCCATGGAATCTTCTAATCCAGTCTTCTGATCCTAAATAGTTTTTCAAATTGAATTTCTACAACTCCCCTAATCCCAGGAAAGCTGTGGTCCGATACATATAGAAAGGAGCTGGTGGGAAATCAGCCAACCTAGATACTAATTTGCATTTACCCTTTATGTTCTTTGCTCTCCACAAATATCTTACCGCTGTCATCTCAGCTGGTTCTTCCCCGTCCACAACTATCTCCACTCTGGCTTTGCCCTTTCTCTCAGCGTCTCGGATTGCTGTTGCAAAATCTCGAGCTTTGTTGCGCTCCAGAATGTTTGACTTTTCTCCATACCAGGTAAAGATTTTCTAAAAGGAAAAGTAGAAACCTGTTGTCCAATTTATAATAGACCACCGGCTGACTAACATCCAGCTATCACCACCTTTTAATCTTCCCACCGTACATTCAATAGGAGTGTTTTGATTACAACTTCCACAATCTCCAGCCATTAACTAAGCTGGCTGGAGATTCTTGGAATTTCAAAGCCCAATTGGGAGATCTACAATTACTGGAGTCCCACAGCAATCCTTCTTGGAAAATAATCCCATAATTTCCCTATATTAGCTTAGTTATGCATTGGTTTTGGAGGATGCATTGAAGCTAACCACATGGGCAATATGGCTGGGTAATATAAGAGTCACAACGTCATACGAACACTACCATATGCTCTTGTGACATATATTCTTTTTCTAGCAAGTATATGTCTCCTTTCTCTTCCCCCTTTCCAGGCTCACCTCTCCCAGGTCCAGGATGAAGCAATCACCCCTATTAAAACTGGTCCAGCTCAGCTCCCTTTCCACAGCCCGGATATTCTTTTTTCCTTTCACTTGATAGAGTTGATGCCTGGGGCTTTGCTCATGGTTGGCCTGAGTTCTGGTAAAGGCTGACTCCACACCACCTTCCTGTGGACCATAAACTGGGGTTGAAATGGGGATACAGAGGATAGAATTTGAGGAAGATAGAGATAGGAAAGACTCTTTGAGATAATAGGAGCCCTGGCGGCACACTGGTTAAATGCAGTATTGCATGCAAACTCTGCTCACAGTCTGGAGGTTTATCCCGAAAGAAGTCAAGGTTGATTCAGCCTTCCATCCTTCCGAGATCAGTTAAATGAGGATTGTTGAGGGCAATATGCTGACATTGTAAACTGCTCAGAGAATGATGTAAAGCACTGTGGGACAGTATAAAACTATAAGTCTAAGTGTTATTGCTATTATCAGGACACCAAGAGGAATCCTAGTGCTACAGAAAGAGCAAAGTGTTAAAGAGAAGTGAAGATGATGGTTAGCTGTAACTTACACTTTGTTTGTGTGCCTTACCTGCCTCGAAACAAAAAGATAAAT